GACTGGACAACCATTGTCTGAAATGGTATAGGGTTTCCTGCCTGAGCAGGGGGTTGGACTAGATGACCTCCAAGGTCCCTTCCAACTTTATTATTGTTGTTGTTGTTGTTGAAATAGCAAGACTCTTCCCTTTTGCTTCTTTCCAGAACTGATCTCAAAGCCTCCGAGCTAGTCATCCAGATCATTTTCGTCTAGATCGGACAGAACTGTGGAGAGTTTCAATTAATAACCTTCAAGAAGCTTTGTCAGATCAGGAGGAGGGAAAACAGGAGAAGTAGTGATCTGAAGCAGTAACAGATGTTAGGGGAATGTGCTGATCCAGTTATTACCTAGCACTGAAAGGACTGGAAAAAATGTTCTGGAGGCCAGCAGCGACACAGCCCTTCTGGGTGGCCTGCCCGTCATTTTGTGTTGGCTGTCATTTTGCAGAAGGCATTCTGGGTCATCATGACACTTGAGAAGAAGGGTGTGTGTGTGTGTGTGTGTGTGTGTGTTGTGGGGGAGGGAGGCACTCAATTGCTTTCTCACAAATTTTCTCTTTACGATAAAGATGGGTGTGTACCGAGCGTCCATCCAATTCAGCTTTTCTGAATTTTACAGTACAGTAGCTAGTATTTTACACGGACCATCGTTGTTCTGATTTATGTGTGCTGTTGTACCACATAGGGGGATATATTTTGAGGACCTGCAATCCAGGTCTTTTTTTAAATTTAAATTTATGTTTATTCTCCAGCCGGAATGTGCCTTTAACTACAGTTTTCGGACTCCAGCAATTTCTGCAGTTTTCCCAAGGATGGTGTTCCTCTAGATCAGCAGGGCTACAATTTCCTTTATGTCTAACTAACATGGCCAGGATTGTCTCCTCCAGCATAGCATGAACATGTTCTTGGGTGCCCCCCCTTTTTTGGTAGGTCTATGCATTACAGACCCATAATCGGCACATTCCTATAGATTAGTTTATAAGTGGATCGATACAGGTAATCCTCGACTTACGGATACAGTTGATCCCAAAATTTCTGTTGCTAAATGAGAGAGTTGTTCACTGATGTTTTGCCAATTTTACGACCTTCCTCGCCACGCCTGTTAAGGGAATCACTGCAGTTGTTAAGTTAACAACCCAGTTGTTAACTGAATCCGGCTTCCCCATTGACGTTGCTCACCGGAAGGTCGCAAAAAGTGATCACATGACCCCAGGGACACTTCAGCTGTCCCGAACGTGAATTGCCAAGCATCCACATTTTGATCACGTGACCGTAGGGAGGATGCAACGGTCCTAAGTGTGAAAAACGGTCCTAAGTGATTCCCCCCCCCCCGGTGCCATTGTAACTTTTCAACAGGCATTAATGATTGTAAGTCGAGGACTGCCTGTAATAGGTTTTCATGATGTCTCTAATCCAGAGGTCCCCATCTTTTTGGGCACCAGGGACCGGTTCCGTAAAGAAAGGTTTTTCTGCGGACCGGAGGGTGCATGCTTTTGTGTGCTGCCTGCATCCCGCGGATGAGGCTTTGCTTGTTTGTGCGGACCGGTTGCTGGCCCTCCACAGCCTGGTGCTGGTCCACGGACCGGGGTTTTGGGGACCCCTGCTCTAATCAATACTGCATGGGGCAGCATTAATGGGTCTTCTGGATGGATTAATCTTTGCTGTTCTTCAGAGCTAGAATTCTGGCTTCTTCGTCTCCTTCCTCCCCCGCTAAGTAAAAATTTGGGGATTTTTGCAGAGTTTCCTTGCAGCCTCAGAGGACGGCGGGGCGGGGGCGGGGGGGGGATATGGTGGGTACGGAGGCCTCTCAAGACAAGCAGCCCTAGAAATTCTTACGGCTTGGCAGGACTACTGTGTGAACCAGCTGTAACTTTTCATGTTGAACTGGGCGTTGCAGGGCATCACATGACAGCTGACAGGCACAATCCCTTAAATTGCACTCCTTCGGAAAACTTATTCGACACAATGGAGAACAGTCCTCCCTCAACAATTGAAGGCACGGAGAGGGCTGGCTGTTGTGGCTGCAAAGCTATAAACCATCTTACCGTGGCAGGAAAGAGGGGAGGGGGCTGCCAGATGGCTCCCCCAGTGTCCTGTAAGGTTATAAAGAGGCAGAATGTTTTCATTTACCAAAGGGATGGGGGGGGGAGAGCTACTGCTAGAACCGAGTCTTACATTAAAAGCAAACCTTTTGTGGAAAGGTAGGCCTCCTCTTGGGAAATTTATTCCTGTCCTGGGAGAAACAGCACGAACAAACTTTATCTGCTCTTGTTTCTAAGTTTACGGTGAAACCTCTTTTTACCAGACCTCGATGGATCGGATTTCGACGGGGACTTAAGTCACTACGATGGTGTAAATCTTCTGCCATGCCTTACTCTGGAATTCAGTGCCCTACTCTTGGGTTCCTCAGTCACAGATACCCTCTCCCACCCCTCCGCCCCCACCCTTAGCCTATTCACATGAGGTTTCCCTTGCATATCCACTTCAGTGCATTTAAATCCTTGGAAGCTTTCGCCAATGAGATCCTGCAGGAAATAAAATTAATTGCAAAGTATCCCGCTGACTAGAATCACATTCCCAAGACAGTGCTGCCCTTGACAAAACCAGGTGCCAGAACATGACCCTTGACCATGAAAAGGTCTAGCTATTGAAATCCTCAGAGGATTCACATTTGGGTTGAAACATTAGCTTTCTGGGAGCATAATCCCTAACTGAACAAGGATCCCTATGTGCAAATAAGTGTGCCCCTGTAGATTTCACACACCCACGTGTACCCATGATCATCATAATCACAGCGGTTTTAATCTGTAACCCCAGGTGTTGTGCAAGTGCATGGTTGGTTTGTGCCCCTAGTAACATTTTCAAAGGTTCAGACACAGAAGAGATTATTCTCCTAGTATGGATATGAGAAAAATGAAAGTGTGTCTCGGTTGAATGCAGTTCTTGAAGTAATTGCATTTTTAATGCAAGTTCCCTAGTCAAAATTATGTATTTGCCAAGATTATTCTAAATAAAGTGCATCAGAGATAAAGTTGGATAGTAGCTGGAGACTTGTAGTGTCCATTATGTTCTCTCATTTTTAACAGGAATATCGATGAGAAGAGCATATACACATACCATGGTTCTTGCAGTTAGTCGGAATTGCCCATTTTATTAATACATCCTTAGTGTGTTTCCCATAAAACATTAACCCTTTGAATAATAATTCGCACAATAGACAATTTTGGCTAGGATGCTCAAAAAAAGGGCGGTGATTGTGTTTCCTTTGAAGGAAACCAAGATAATCAGAATTAATTCTTGGAAACTTAATACTTGCTCAGTACCGACTTCCGAGACATAACAGTCTTGGAATTGGCAAGAACAAGTCTAAATCCCTTGAACACAATAATGCAAAAATTCAAGAATTAATTAAAATTTCTGGGAATAGTGATTTTATATTCATGATTTACGTTTAAGAGCCCATGGACATTGTTATGTAACTAAGGACAGTGAGTAACCGCACCATGTTTGTTCTACATGTCATCAGTTAATTTTATTTTATTATGAATTAGAATTAGAATTAGAATTAGAATTAGGAATGGAATAGAATGGAATGGAATGGAATGGAATAGAATAGAATAGAATAGAATAGAATAGAATAGAATAGAATAGAATAGAATAGAATAGAATAGGAAGGGGCCTTGGAGATCTTCTAGTCCAGCCCCCTGCTCAAGTAGGAGAACCTATACCATCTCAGACAGGTGAATGTCCAGTCTCTTCTTAAAAATCTCCATTGATGAAGCACTCACAATGTCTGAAGGCAAAGTTGTTCCACTGGTTAATTGTCCTCACTGTCAGGAAGTTTCTCCTTAATTCCAGGTTGCTTCTCTCTTTGATCAGTTTCCAATCATTGTTTCCTGTCCTTCCCTCTTGTGCTTTGGTGAACAACCTGGCCCCCTTTGTCTTGGGGCAGCCCCTCAGATACTGGAACACGGCTATCATGTCTCCCCTGTTTCTTCTGTTCTTTAGACTAGCCAAACCCAAATCCCGCAGCCGTTCTTTGTATGTTTTAGTGTCCAGGCCTTTAATCATCTTACTTAATAATAATAATAATAAAGTTGGAAGAGATCTTGGAGGTCATCAAGTCCAACCCCCTGCTCAGGCAGGAACCCTACACCATTTCAGACAAGTGGCTGTCCAGTCTCTTCTTAAAAACGTCCAGTGTTGGAGCATTCACCGCTTCTGGAGGCAGGTTGTTCCATTGCTTAATTGTTCTAACTGTCGGGAAGTTTCTCCGTAGTTCTAACTTGCTTCTTTCCTTGATTAGTTTCCATCCGTTGCTTCTCGTCCTGCCTTCAGGCGCCTTGGAGAATAGCTTGACCCCCTCTTTTTTGTGGCAGCCCCTGAGATATTGGAACACTGCTATCCTGTCCCCCCTCGTCCTTCTCTTCCTTAAACTAGACATACCCAATTTCAGCAACTGTTCCTTATATGTTTTAGCCTCCAGTCCCCTGATCATCTTTGTTGCTCTTCTCTGTACTCTTTCTAGAGTCTCAGCATCTTTTTTACATCGTGGTGACCAAAACTGAATGCTTTATTCCAAGTGTGGCCTTACCAAGGCTTTGTAAAGTGGTATTAATACTTGCTCTTCTCTGAATGTTTTCCAAACTCTCAACATCTTTTCTGTGGTAAGGTGACCAAAATTGGCTGCAGTATTCCAGGTGTGGTCTCGCTAGGGTTTTGTAAAACGGTAATAATAATTAGGCAACTTTTGAATTCTGAACACTTTTTAAATAGGGTACAGTCAACTTTCAAAGTCCTTTTGAAAAGGGATGGCAGAGTTGGGTGGCACACCAGCCTGTGCACCTGTCTAAAAACTAATTTTTCAGTCGTAGGAATGTATTCTTCTAGAACACTAGTGGTTGAGATTTTTAAACCACATCTTTAAGAAAAATCCAGACTGCATCTCTGTGATGGGAAGAAAACACAAAATTAGGTGACTGAATCCCCCCCCCCTTTCTTTTTTTGTATTTTATGCAGTGAGATTTCAGGTGACTACGGAAGAACAAATGCAGGAGCCAGCACAAGAAACAAAAGAGGTACGTGTGAGCATTCTGCATTACATTCAAGACCTGAACACCGTTTTCTCTCTAACCCTTCTTATTTCTCTTTGTGTGTTTTGCAAAAACAATTAAGTTGTGCGTATTCTTTAGAAGAAAGGAAAATCTCCCACCAACCTGGGCTCATTAATGAACTCTAGGTATCATCCTGGAGAGAGGGAAACCAGTTCATACCGTACTGAACAGCCAACAGCAAGGAAGGAAGAGAGTGGAATAAAATATTACAAACAGCAATAAGCTTTTATTCAAAGGGTAGGTTAGGTTTTGTGCTGCAGATAGAGAAGCCAGTCTTTTAGCAACCAATAAGCAAGAGGAAAACAGAGATTGTAGAGAGCAGAGTTTGGGGAGGGGAGATTAAATAATTAAAAACAATGCTGGGGATGGAGTGCTTGACCTTTAGTTCTGCACTGTTTCCCCAATCAGGATCTGCCCCCCCCCACCTCCACCCCCCCCCCACCTCTTAGCAGCCAAGCTGGAAGAAGGATTAAACTGTGCTCTATTATAATAAAGGCTCTTTCCATCTTCTTTATAGTCCCATTACATTGGAGATGGTCCAGACTTTCAGCATTCCCTTTTCAACCTTGGTGGTCAAAGTCCATTGGTCTCCTATTATCTTCAGATGCACGGAATCCCTAACACTTTAGCAAACTCCCGGGGCTACAGGATCAATCATAGTGAAATCTGCAAAGTACCATATCCTTTTATTTTTAAAGGGAGAAGTTTATGGCTTGAGATAGCTTTACAGTTTCTGAAACCTGCAGTAAAATAATTTATTTCCATTAAACACACACACACATACACAACACACACACACATAAACACACAAATGGGGCGGCTGAAGGGATGGGAAAGACAGAAGTGAAATCTGGACTTTGTGGGAATGTGGTTTTCTTTTTCATGGCAGGTCAAACTAAGAAACTTGGACTCTGTTTTTGGAACTTTTTAAAAAATTTTCTCTCTGAGCTCAGTTCTTTTCCAAATTGGATTTGGAGAAAAGGGCTAAGCAAATATGTAGAGGAGTTGTGGTATACATCTTCTCTCAATTATGGTCTGCTTTTGGTATTAAAAGACACATATAGCATGCATGTTTTATTTCAGGGCTTTTCAACCTTTTCAGCCATTGTATCACTTTTAGGATATGGCAATATCTGAGTGGCACCAGTCCCCTAGCAAGGTGTCAAAAACTTGATGACCAAAAAAAAAAAAAAAAAAAGGAAAAAAGTGATGAAGTACAGGTAGTCCTCGACTTAGAACAGTTCACTTAGTGACTTTGGGCCAGTCACTCTCTCTCTCATCCTAACTGACTTCACAGGATGGTGGCTGTGGAGAAAACAGGAGGAAGGAGGTATGTTGGATATGTTTGCCATCTTGAGTTTTTTGTAAAAATAATAAATATAAATAAATGAAATTAAATAGAAGGCCTGCCCTAATGACTAGCTACGCTCATCCCACTAACCCACAGTCTGCTCAACCATTGTTTACTCAATAAACTATAAAAACAGAGAACACTAAGCCAAAACTGAACAAGATCCTAGCAGTCACCGAGTAAAATCGTGGCACATGCCTAGAAGCTAGATAATTTAACAACAATTGGATGTTATGGTAGAATATGACTGCGAAAGCCAGATTGAGCCTCTCAAAATCTGTGGATCAGAATAATTTTCTGGTCTAGTTCTCGGTTCCAGATAACCATCTGATCCTTGGATCACTTTCAGGAGGAGAAACAATATGCGCGACAGGCGTCCAAAGGATTGGTCTTTCATCTGCAGCCATGTGCACAGGACCAATTAGATGCCAGTTTTCCATGACAGATCGCAGATTCTTTAGTGGATGCGTCAGCCTGGAGCGTATTTCCAGAAAAAAAACTATGAAAATCATTGATACAAATCTTCTCTGGCAGAATTCCGATACTAGGTTAGCCAGTGAGTAGAAGGAGTTTCACAAATCTATAAGAATATTTTTTCTCTTAGGTAATAATCTGATTCCTTTCTACATCTGGGTCAACAGTCTGATCCTATGAACATGCAACTTTGGGATTTAAACTTGGAAATGTTTTGTAGTTGGAATCTCTTTGTTATAACCTAGTCAACTTGGGGGACAATTATATCTTAACTATAAACATACTTTTTGCTGTATTCCAATTACTTTAAAATGAAATACCTACTCGTTATGTTGGCTTCCTCTATGAAACTGAAAAATGAGGAAATGTGGATAATTTTAAGTCATCACTCCATTTTCTTCAATATCAAATTGATTCCAAGCAATGAGATGATCTTTCATTGTGAAATACATAAATCAGCACCAAAAAAACATGTTCAAGCCAAGGGCTACACTCAGTTTTTGAGAGAGACGTTGGAGCAATGTTCTCCTAAAAGGGTGGCGCTGGAACAGAAAATAAATAGGATTTAAATTAAATTAAATTAAATTAACAGGATTACTCAAGTGTTTAAGAATGCTTAAATATTATAGTTTAGCAGCAACTTTTGGGAAGTCTCCAAAGTTTATATCCACGTGTTCAGTTTCCCCATCCTTTTCAGAACATTTAATTCTGGATCAAGTGTTTATTTTAGCCATAAAGCCAGCAGTCAAGGATAATAAAACGATTAACAGTGGAGATGGATAAAAAATAAAGAAAATTAATAAGAGATTTCCCAAAGTCAAGGAGAGACAGATAGGACATGTAGAAGCAGAGAATTTCTCTGAATGCTGATCATTCAGGAAAAGGATCAAGTCACGATCTGTGTCAGGATTTTTTTTTTCCAAAATAAGATGAATATAAGTTTTCCAGGATTTGCTATAGAAACAATAATGAAGGAAAACGTGGCTCACAAACCACTCCTATGTACTGGGCTGTTGTTTCTAATTTCTTCTCCGTTATTAATTGCACTATTTTTTTAAAAAAAAAAGCTTTCGTTTTTAGTAATTGCTAAGAATGAAAATGTTTCTAGTACCTTATTTTTATCTAAACGAGTCCCTGTGAATTTTACTCTGCTAGTCGTTGCTGACTCTAGGGGGCGCTGCTCATCTCTGTTTCAAGGCCAATTGAGCCAGCATTGTCCGAAGACGTTTCCACGGTCATGTGGCCAGCACGACATGGCAGAGTGCTGTTACCTTCCCATCGAAGTGGTGCCTATTTATCTACTTGCGTTTGCATGCTTTCAAACTGCAAGGTTGGCAGGAGCTGGAGCGAGGACATGAGCTCACCCCGTCACGTGGCGCTCAGGTCTCAAACTTGGGATGCTGGCTTTCCAACCAACAAGCCCAGCATATTTAACCCCTGAGTCACTGCGCTTTTAAAATATTTCTGGTGAGGGACAGTTATAGAGGGAGGGATATCCAGATGTTACAATCAACAAAGGAACGAATCTATACGTTCTCCTAAACAAAAGACAAACGTATTATTCTTACCCAGGCTAATAAAAAAAAATGCCCATTATGAAACTAACCATTCGTGTTCCCTTCTCTTTGTCTCTGGGTAGCTCTCATTCTCTTTCGTACACAAACATCTACCCACATATTCTTTCTCTCTTTTCAATCTCTGCTAGAAGTTGAGGAGGGTTTAAAAATGGCATCTGCAGCCACGTGATCAAAGCCCTGTCCCTCTGTCACGTGTAAAAAAAAGTTGTATCTTAACTCATAACCACTGTTAACTTTTTTTTAATGCCCCCCACAGACACCCTTGTAAAAATTATTCTGTGACCAAACCCAGTGATGTTTTTTCAGCGTTCTCCATCTCCTTAATCTCAATTAGACGATTTTTTTATGAGTATATCTGGAACAGCCAGTACTCTCTACCAATCCCTTTTGGCTTACAATGTTGTGCTTTGCTTTGCTTGCATTTTAATGATTGTCAAAAGGTACTTTTGAGGTTTTCTTTCAATTAAGCTTCCTTTCTTTTCTTCCAAATTCTAGAGAATAACAAAAAGTAAAGGGGGAAAGCCTAACAAATAGAAAAGGATGTTGAAGAGAGTATATTCCAGGTTGGTTCCTGGACAGATACGGGAAGGGGAAAAAAATCATGATGTAGTTCCGTCTTTTCTCATCTTGTGACTGTGTGTATACATACATCATGGCTTTCAGGAGATTTGTGTTCTGAAACATCTCTCTCTTCCATCCAAACTTACTCCCAAGACTTTCTGGCTGAATTGAGTTGAACTACATTTTGCAGAACAGAACAACTAAAGTTACATATTTCTTCCAAGTTAGAACTCTCCAGTCTGCCAGTAGCCCTTTTTCATATGACAATATCCCCATCAAAATCCCACTTCTAATTCATACTGGCTTTTAAAAGCAAACTTACCCAAATATTCACAATGTGCACACACAGATGCACACACATTTTCAGAAAAAAATGTATTAATCTGAGGAAAACGTTATTCTTTTCCTATGGCAGAAGGAAGAGAATAAAATAGGAGGGGTGGGATGTGGAACAGGTCTAAGCCTCACTGTTTCTTGTAGTCCAAAGTTGGGAGCTCAAGGTAGATATAGATATAGATATAGTTTCCTAACTTCCTCTTACAATAATTTTACATGAGAAATCCTACATAAGTTGAGCACTTCATGCTCGGATACGACTGCGATCCTGGCTAGATTGACATTTAGAAAAAAAAACATTGAAGAGAAAATAAGCATTCTTCTTCAAATAAGACGTTGAGGACCTTTTCCGCCCTTGGCTTTAGGTCAACCCTTTACATTTTAAAGGCAGAGCTGCATTCAGGGCCGTTGAGCATGCTACCCTTTTGGAGTGCTTGGCTGATACAGGAGGATGATACAGGCTCTTTCTGGTGACATTTGTTATTAACCTCCCTTTCCAAAGACAATAGAAAACCTGGTTGGAGTCACCTGAAGGATAGGCCAATAGTTTGACGTTCAAGGGCATTTCTTTCCAATTCTGACAGTGGAAGATCAACTGTGGTCCCTCAATCAACCCAGCTTTGGTGGGGAGTTGGAAAATGGCTACAACTTCCTGCTGTTGTCCTGAGAGGGGAGCACTCGTAGCTTACTTGGAGCTATCCAAGGTACTGTTGTTTTTTTACTGCCCTCTTCACCAAAGGACCTGAATTGAGTTAACTTCCCATTTCTGTTGCTCTCCAGCAACAGCCAAGGTCTTGCCTTTCCCAACAAAATTCAGGCAGTCCTGAGATGGGAAAAATGGTGGTGAAATCTTACCTGGCTGTTTGGTTTCTTACCCTTTTAAATAGCATTGCATGAAACCATGAAGGAAAACCATGCAGAATTTGGGCATTAATGACGCCCAGCGTTCATTGGTGCCAAAGAAAGTTCTAAAGAGCTAGAATCAATGGGGAATTAGATATGAATGAACAATCTAGGATTCCATACTGAGAAGGAGGTGGTCTCGGTCAGATGTCGGGTCAAACTGCAGATTAGAATGCAATCAACTTTGGGTGGCCTTCCATTCCTTGGAAGTCTCAGTTTGTAGATTAAAAAGGGTTTCCCTTATTCCTGGGAGAATAATTTTAATTGTAAGCCACTCAGAGTCACTTTTCAGAGTGAGACGGCGGCATATAAATTTAATCAATCAATAAAACAAAGGATGCCTATGAGCAGGAGTGTGACCAGTGGGTCAGTGTGCTTCTCCCTAAACAGGAAGAATTTTGTCTGGGTGACCCATGCTTTGGTTGTCCGTCATTTAGATTCCTAAAATGTTGCATGGGGAAGTGCCCTTTAAAAAGTGTGCAGAACCCACTGTTTGGAGTTCTTACTTGTTTCTGTAATGAAGTAACAGAACGTAAAAGAAAAATACTGCAGTTAAAAATATAAAATAAAAGCAGGGACAGAAACAAAAGCATGTATTTAAAAAGGAATTTTTAAAAAATCATTTTTTCCCCCTAAACCAGAAAGGAGCCACGTACTGTTTGTGAGCGCTTAAGAGCTATTTTAAAGATCCATCTTAAATATTTGTTACCAAGTGTGACATTTGTACAGAGAAAAGTAATCTATTAGGGGAAAAAAACCCACACTGTTAATATAGTTAATAAATTGCGCTTCCAATAAATTTATCTCTCGTTCTGGATTTTTCCTCCAAAGCTTTTTGTTAGTAGGTTAATGGTTGAGTCAGAACACTTTCTCACCGTTTTACAATGCCTTGATTCAATTAAAGATACATGCTGGTGGTAACTGCAAAACTTTGATGCCGAGATGCTTTTCTGGCAGGTGATTTTGACCATATACAGTGGGCCTGAATCATCCACATTAATCTTCCATTTGGTTCTTGAAACCTACATTATTTATCTTAGTGCTGTGGATACATTAAGAGATGAACCATTTTTACTATTAGACACTCACCCTTACAGAAGCAAAGGGGAGGAAACAGATACCAAAGAGAGATTGATCTGTCCTCTGTTCCCCTCAGAATGATACTCCTGCTTGGAAAAAGGGAGCATCACTTTACACATAGTCCTCGGTTTACAATTGTTCATTTAGTGACCATTCAAAGTTACAACGGCACTGACAAAAGTGACACCCGACTGTTTTTCACCCTTAAGACCGTTGCAGCCTCCCCAGGGTCACGTGATCAAAATTCGGACCCTTGGCAACCAGCTCATGTGACGGTCGCAGTGTCCTGGGGTCTCACGTGATCCTCTTATGTCCAGCAAGGGAAGCCAGAGTCACTTAACAACCATGTTACTCGCTTAACAGTTGCAGTGATTCGCTTAATAACTGTGGCAAGAAAGTCGTAAAATGAGGCAAAATTCACTCAACAAGCATCTTGCTTATCGATTGATGATGATGATGATGATAATAATAATAATAATAATAATAATAATAATAATAATAATAATAATAGTTGGAAGGGACCTTGGAGATCTTCTATCTAGCCCAATCCTCTGCTCCATGGAAATGTTAGGCTCAATCGTGGTCATAACTTAAGGACTACGTGTACAAGGGTTTGGTCTTCGAATCAGGGTGCCATTAGTCTTGCAACCCTGTTCATCTTAGGATGTCTTCTGGGCATGATGCAAAAAGATAGACCTGTCCTTCCTGAGCAGGAATTAACCAGATAGAAAAGGCCCGTGTCCATCGGTTGCTCCAGGCCGTTGGTCCTTTGCAAGAGATAAAAACAATGCAAGTTTTCCCTTGACCAGATCTTTCAGCACACCGCTTTCTCCAACTTACGTGGATGTCATTCAGAAGTGTAAAAAGACTTCGAAGAAACTGCTGGACCATTTTGCTGAGTAAGTATTGACCCGGAGTCTTCAGTCGTGGGCACGGGATATGTTCGATCCACACTGGCTTGATTTTGCACTGCCTTACCAGTAGTTCCTACTCTCTGTTTTTTTATTATTATTATTCCTAAGCTAATGCGTACACATGTTGTGATACTGCAGCTCCTTTGGGACTTGCAGAAGAGCAGGCACGATCCAATTCAAATGAAACCAGATCAGTTTATTACAGCCATATGCTCTTCTGTATTCGCCTCGGTGAAATTTCAAAAGGGGGGGGGGAAATCTAGATCCAGTGATCTGTGCATATTGCGTTCTGGAGGAACAGTAAACTTGAACAAAAAAACCTCCAGACAACCAGGTACTTTGGTCACTCTTGGCAACTGCCCTTCATTTTTGAATAATGTCTAACAGATGTCTAATGCAATACTCCGAGCTGAGTGTCCTCCAGAGAAAGCTGTTAATGTCACTCTTTCTGGCTTGCCCTGGAACAAATGATTTGCAGAATGCTGATTTTTCCAAATGTGGAGGATGATGCGTTTCCTCTAAAAGGAAAGTCCATTGGGAGAAAATTAGTACCATTGAAAACAAAACAAAACAAAAATATTTGGTTCCTCTATCTACATTTCCAGTATATCACATGATGAGTTTTGCTTTCTAGTTTTGGACACAAGTGTGACGCAGAACTGGTGGTGTTACAAGAAAAGAGAGAAAAAACGGACAGGAAGTTCAGAAGGTTTGTTTTTCAGCTATTTTTTTTAATAAATATTCAGACTCCTTTAAAATAGAAAACCCCTTTTAAAAATCGTCATGTCCTTCAAAACGTATGACATCTGGTAGTTATTTATCAACTAAAGTCAGTCATTTTAAAAAAAAATGCAAAGATATTGCAGAGGAAAACTTAGGAAAACTTTAAGATACCTTTAGAAGTGTACTGAAAAAAATCTCCAAAGTGAGGACTTGAGAACTTCACATTCTTTCCTTCTTCATAATCCCCAATACATTTATTTGTCCAAGGGCCATTGATTTAGACCAGGCCTTCTCAAAGTGTGGCCTGGGGACCTCTGGGGATCCCCAAGGCCCTTTTAGGGGGTCCGCAAACTCAAACATATATTTTGACATTTTTCAGCTTGAATTTCTATAAGACTACATAGCAGTAGTTATCAACCGCAGTAAATCAAAACTCTGGGGGTCCTCAGTCATTTTTAAGGATGTAAAGGGGTCCTGAATCCAAAATGTTTGAGAACCGCTGATTTAGACTATTGTTATAAACAAATAATTTCTCTGCCAAAGCACTTCAAATGGTTTGTGATTTAAAACAAAGGCTAAACATTTATCTATATGTTTAATATTAACTTACTGAGATTACAGTTTTATGGTTCCTGGGACCAATTTCGGGGCTAAGTCTCTAGTCTTTTCACAGCCTGAAAGACCAGGGCCACATAAGAGATTTTGGGGGACAGGAGTTGCTCATGTCAGCTGTCCCAGGTGGGTCAGGGGGTCTCCCTCAGAAACAGCTAGTGAAATGACAGTGAAGCAGATACAGGATGCGCCAATGTCTCCAAGCCAATGGGTTCTTGACCTTAGCAACGTTTAAGAAGTGTGAAATTCAACTCCCAGAATTTTGGCTTGACATCTTAAAATGGCTAAGGTTGAGAAAAAAACATTGCCTTAACCCAGTGCTTCTCAATTATTTTCTGTCATGCCCCCCTAGGAAGAAGAAAACATTTCGCGCCCCCCCGCGCGACTGTCTATCCAATCGGGTCCTTTGCGTGTGTCACGTGCGTCCAATATGACAGTATTTGCCGAGGTCAAACGAGCCCCCCTTTACGGAGCCTCGCGCCCCTCCTGGGGGGCCCGCCCCACTATTTGAGAAGCACTGCCTTAACCTATTCCTTTTTCAAAAATGTTTTTTTTTAAAAAAAATGGATATAATCCTAAATGGATGCTTTACTTCAGATGATGGTGAATCCATTTTTTTCCCTCACTACATCAGACATTGTTTATGAGTGACAGGCTACTTTTATTTGATATTAAGCCTTCAAAGAAATACTGTGTACAAAGATAGACGTGTATCTGGGACACAGTGAACGTGGTGAAAAGACCGTGTGTTTGCAACCCTTTTCCCAGCCTGCTAGAAATTTAATGTCACTTTGGCTTGTCCATATTGGGACAAATGTGGTATAATTTGCACAAGGGCAGGAGTAAAAAAAAAAAAAAAAGTGAGGGAGTTTCATGCAACTTGTTGTGCTCTGTATTTTTTTTTTTGCCTAGGATGCTAGAAACCATCACCACGAAGCCTACTGAGAAAAGGGTAAAAATAGAACGGTTTCTCCTCCAAAGGGTAATTCAGTTTTTATATCACTATCTTCTGTGGTTCAATACACTTTGCGGCCTGCTTAAGAAACGGAGAATGTGCTGGAATGCACACACAGTCTTTATTCAGGTTAAATTGGCAAAAGCAAATCCATTTAGTTTTGTATAATGTTAATTGCATATTCCAGTAGGTTGAGATCCTTATTCAATAACAGATCATGGAATGAAGTTGAACAGAAGCCTCTGTTTATCTTGTAAAAAGGAAAACCCACTGAGGGCCACGCAGAAATCTTGATCTGCTTATAAAAGACACAGCACTGTTGTTTGAATAGAATAGAATTGAATAGAATTGAATAGAGCTGGAAGGGACCTTGGAGGTCTTCTAGTCCAGCCCCCTGCTCAAGCAGGAGAACCTATACTATCTCAGACAGGTGAATGTCCAGTCTCCTCTCAAAAATCTCCAGTGATGGAGCGTCCACGATTTCTGGAGGCCAGCTGTTCCACTGGTTGATTGTCCTCACTGTCAGGAAGTTTCTCCTTAATTCCAGGTTGCTTCTCTCCTTGATCAGTTTCCAACCATTGTTTCTCATCCTTCACTCTGGTGCTCTGGTGAACAACCTGACCCCCCTCTGCCTTGGGGCAGCCCCTCAAATACTGGAACACGGCTATCGTCTCCCCTATTTCTTCTTTTCTTTAGACTAGCCAAACCCAAGGCCCGCAGCTGTTCTTCACATGTTTTAGTCTCCAGGCCCCTGATCATCTTAGTTGCTCTTCTCTGAAATTTTTCCAAACGCTCAACATCTTTTTTGTGATATGGTGACCAAAACTGGCTGCCGTATTCCAGGTGTGGTTTGACATATGAGTGTAGTAAGGCTGAGGGACACAAAAAGACCTTCTTTCCTTTTCATTCTCTCAATAACATACAGTATATAGCAGTGATGGTGAACCTTTTAGAGACCGAGTGCCCAAACAGCAACCCAAAATCTACTTATTTATCGCCGGGTGCCAGGTGGGCGTGGCCCACTGGGTGGGCGTGGCTGTGGTGGTCATGACAGATGGTGGGTGGGTGTGGCCAAGGGGGGCGTGGTCACCTCAACTTTGCTCATGGGGAGGGACGCCTGTGGGGGCCGGGCAGGGTTGGGGGAGATCCGGGGGGGTCTCTGGCAGGTGGGGCAGTGGGCAGGAGGCTCGTCCTGCGGGGTGAGGCAAGGCGAGGCAGGGCAGGGGTGCTATTGTTGCAGGGCGAGGCGAGGCAGGGGCCGGGGCAGCTGCTACCTGACACCATCAGCCCCCGCACACAGAGGCCAGCGGGCGCATGGGGGCCAACAATGTCCATCAGCAGCCACAGCCTGCCGGCCCCGCGACCGGCGCACTCTGGGGCTCCACAGCCCGCCACCAGCAGTTCAGAGAAGTGCCCACAGAGAGGGCTCTGAGTGCCGCCTCTGGCACCCGTGCCATAGGTTCACCGCCCCTGATATATAGTCTTCTACATGCCCCATTGACTGCCTGGCAGCAAATTCTCAAGAATCCTGCAGGAAACACACAAAACCCATACCCAGAAATAGACAGGATTATCGGTCTGCCAAATTATTTCCTCCTTTGTGTTTGGAATTACCAGCATAACATAAAGTTTTGACTCAAGGAGATTAAATATGATGGCAAATGGGATTCTTCCTTGGGTTCGAAACCCGTTAGTCCCAAAATACCTCTGTAGGGATGTTGTGGGAGGAAAGCCTTCCTCTTCCTCATCCCACTCCCCAGAAAATTTGAGATAGGACTGCAAAGTAAAATGAGATGTGGCAGAAACATCTTGCTTCTTCTCACTCCAGGATCTAGCTGGCTTTTATTCCCCTTTTAAGAAAAACTAATATCTGTAGATGGGACATTGGGTACTGAGTTAAAATGTTGCGTGTATTCCGGTGCGTTGAAGGTTCCCTGCAAATTCTGAATAACGGAATAAAAGAGTTGAAAGGGAGCTTGAAAGTCTTCTAATTCAACCTCCTATTTAAGCAGGAGATTTTATACCAGGGGTAGGCAACCCTGGCTCTTTTATGACTTGTGGACTTCAACTCCCAGAATTCCTGAGCCAGCATGAAGTCCACAAGGTTGCCTACCCCTGTTCTATACCATTTCAGACAAATAGCTGTTCAGTCTCTTCTTAAAAACCTCCAGTGATGGAGCATCCACAACTTCTGGAGGCAAAGACATTTCACTGATTAATTAACTGTCAGGAAATTTCTCCTTATGTCTAGGTTGGCCCTCTCCTGGTTTAATTTCCATTCATTGCTTCTTGTTCTGCCTTCAGGTGCTTTGCAGAATAGGTTGACATCCCCACACCCCTTCTTCCTTGTGGCAACCCCTCAAATATTGGAACATTGCTATCATGGCATCCCTAATCCTTCTTTTCATTAAACTAGACATATCTAATTCCTGCAACCGCTCTTAATATGTTTTAGCTTCCAGTCCCTTATTATCTTTGTAGGACTCGGGAGGGGGGGATGGCGGTGGGGGAGAAGGGAAGTGGTTGCAGCATCGCAACATGCAAAATCCCACCCAAATGTCGCAGGGATTCATTCATGGTGTTTCCTTTGAATAGGCAAATGCCAAGATACACCATCATGGGTCTTGCGGATCAGAATCAGGAGCCAAAGATGTCTGACCTCAAGATACGTGCTGTGAACGTTGATGGAATTTTTCCGTCCGCCAAAATTAAGCACACTAAACTTTTGGTATGAAATAAGCTTCTGACTTTTGAATCAATAAAGAATGAGACGGAGTCATTGGACTTTGTTTTTTTTTTTTTTTTCTCCCTCTTCCCCTTTAATTCCAATCTGGTTCATTTCAATTATTTTTAACGAATATATTTTGGCAAATCGTGTTTTATATTGTCAGGTCCAGACAGAAATCAACATTTTGGATGATTATGTTGGAAGCATATTTTAAGAAAGAGAAAAATCCATTAGAAAGATTAATAGCACTTTTGAGAGAGAGAGGGAGAGAGAGAGAAAGAAAGAAAGAAAGAGAAAAAAGGTTGGAAACCCATCCTAATAATAGCTATTGCTATTGTTCGTTATAATGTAATAAAAAACAGCCAAATGAATTGTTTACTGTGGCATGCAAAGTCCTCCAAAAATGTGGCGTCCTTCAGGCTTCAAGGAAAATTATAGCTCCTCCGCCAGGGTTGGTAGCAAAGAGGTTGTTTTCTTCCAGGGCTAACCTTTGGCCACAATTTTTGTAATAAGCCTCCTTCACATTTGCTAGGAATCTCTCCAGTTTGTCCACAGGGACCATCGACACAGTGCAGCCACCCCATCCTGCCCCAGTCAGGCGTGACCCAACTGCTCCAAACTGCCTAGGAGAACAAAAAAAAAAAAAAAAAAAAAAAAAACCCTAAGTAAACAGATTGGAAAGTCATAAATTAAGGGAGAACGTGTTGTGCATGCAGTGAGTCTACTGGTAAATGTTGGACATAAGTAGGTTAGATTTATTCTAGTTTTCAAAAGAAAACAGGCAACCACGATAGACAGCTAAAAGTCAGGTGAGTGGAAGATTGCGATCCAGTTCTGAACAGCTGGCATGTTGAACTGTCTGGTGTAATCTAATCTGAACTATGGATTTACTAGGAACTTCATAGCTCAAGGCCATTCGTGTCTGCCAGTCTTGATGTCTACATCATATCACTGAGTCTCTAACGCTAGCTAATAGAAGACTGAATAGTAGGATCACATTTTGCCTGTGCCCTGAAAGTGGTTTCCTGGAAGTATGCGGTTGCTATTGTGGACAGTCCACATTAGATTCGCCCTTACTTTAATCTCTCAACCCTCTTCGGATATTTTATGCACCACCAGACAAGGCAGCACTCAGAATTGGTTTTATAGTTTCCTCCCTAATGGAAATGGCAACAGTGGCTGTTTATGTGCTTTCTTACTAAATGAGTGGATCAACCCCACCATAATAGGACTGCTCTTCAGGTAGAGAGAATTTACGTGCAACAGTTTGCTTGTAGTTTAAAAGTTGCAACAGCCCCATTTTGCCATATTTTTAGATGGTTCCTAAAATGGAGCTGCTGACCAGTTGCTTACATAGACACCTCTGTATCGATGGCCAGATCTGCAATGAGTTCCTCATGTGTCATTTTAATGCGTTGGTTTCTAATTAGCCTTTTCTGATTCATTCACCTTTGCCTAGATTCCACAATGTGACCTTATGGAGCAGCGGTAAGATAAATCTGTTCACCGGCACTCACTGGTAAAGTCCTTTCGTTTCAAAGACCCTCAAATTCTGCAGTACCACAATTGCCTAAAAAAGATAATTGACTTTATGTGGGGCGTTTACTGTAAGCATTGAACAGCCAAAGGTTGGCCCTTCCAGAACTTGCCCTGTTCTACCCTAAGAGAAGGCAGCTACTGGCTTGTCCAGGAAAAGCGAGATCAGGCGCACCCAGCAATCCAGCTTTGATGTGTGTGAACCCTGCCCCATCTGTTGTTGCTGCCCATCGCGACCCCATGGACAACGTTCCTCCAGGCCTTCCTGTCCTCTACCATCTTCTGGAGTCCATTGAAGCTCATGCCTACTGCTTCAGTGACTCCATCCAGCCACCTCCTTCTCTGTCGTCCCCTTCTTCTCTTGCCCTCCATCTTTCCCAGCATTTGGCCCTTCTCCAGCGAGTCCTTCCTTCTCATTAGGTGCCCCATCTAGGCATAACCATAAAGCATCTAGATAATACAGATTTTTCTTTGTATCTTCAAAGCTTCTAAGAACGGATAATCCCAGACGCAGAAGCAACGCACCTGCATACTTTTTTGGAAACGTTCTTGAAGCCTAAACACAGCAACTGGCAATGATTACAGATTTTTTTTTTAAAAAAAACATTTCTGTTTGAAATTGCTGCTTATTATTGTTACTATATTAGGTAAGTTTTATTTCTGGATCAGAAACAGACAATAACAAGCTAGGAAGGGACCCTTCAATTATCAGTGAAACATGCCAAAATAAAGTTACGTTCTGAAAACAAACAACCACTGTCTAAGTTCAGAATGGAGTGACAGACAAGCAGGCGGCTTGGATGCAGCGTGGTTCCTGTCATAAATCTCCTCAGCCAGGTTTCAGTGGGAAGCTCAGAAGAATTAAACTCTGAGGCATTTTAGGCACATGTTGAATTTTGCCTGTCATGGTTTTCCTTATGAAGGCCAAAACTGAAATCGCTCTTCTTCGAATGAAAACCTTAACCCCATATTTTCATCTTGGTGTTTCACTTAGTTGCTGTATTGCTTCATTTTTTTTTTTTCATCATGGAGCTAATCTAAAAGTTGCAAATCATTTCAGGAGTTCCCCTCCACAAAGGACCCATGTGGGGGGCCTTCCTGTATGGAATGGTTTCTGGTGAAAACAGGAATTGCCAGCCAGACCAACCGGATGGTTTCTGTATCTCAAAAGCATAGAAGGAATCGGAGAGTCATCTTGAGAAGGAAAAACCAAAACTTCTTCTCTCTTCCCTGCGGATTTTGGAGGCAAGTCCACAAAGGGGAGAAGCTAGGAGGAGAGGGCTGAAGCAAAAAGAAAGCTTGTGGGGAAAACGTAGCCTTCCTACCATGCTCCTGTAACAATTCCTGATCTTGGCCAGATGGCCTTTGGTCTCCACAAAAGCTCCTCAGATATTGGGCAAGACAGGCAGGTAGCATGCAAATGTTATTTCCAGAACTTTCTGTTGTTCTCTCTAGAGACTTGGGTTAACCTGTGAAAGCACCTGTGAAAAAATAGTTCCCTAAAAAGAACAGCCGCTCTGTGTCTTCAGCCCCATTGCAATAAGCAATGATATGGGTCCTCACCTTAGCAAACTCTGCCCCAGTTTCTGTCTGTCTGTCTGTCTGTCTGTCTGTCTGTCTGCCTGCCTGCCTGCCTGCCTGTCAATGTCTGTCTGTCTGTCTATCTATCTACCCACCTACTACCTACCTACCTACCTACCTACATCTATCTATCTATCTATCTATCTATCTATCTATCTATCTATCTATCTATCTATCTATCTATCTATCTATCTATCTATCTATCTATCTATCTATCTTGCTACATCCATCTATCCACCCACTCATCCATTCGTTATCTATCTATCTATCTATCCATCCATCCATCCATCCATCCATCCATCCATCCATCCATCCATCCATCCATCTATCTATCTATCTATCTATCTATCTATCTCAATTTGCTGAAGGTGACTCTATGCAGCTTACAGACATTTTTATCAAGCTCAGAAAATAAGGGAATCTGGCCAGTTCAAATGAATATAGATATATTGTATGCTAAATCTCTCTACAAGAATCTGACCTATTTAACGGTCAAAGTAAATTGATGGTAGATAAGAGTCAACAAAATTCAAGGGGGGCTGGACTTAAACCTCTGAAGGGACTGGAGACTGATGACAAGTTTGACCCCTCCCTTGGGCTCAGCCTGGTTATCTCCTACAATTTTGTAGTACATTTGGCTTGAGAATCCTAAAGTATGTGATTTTTTTTTTCTTAACACAGGATATCCATGAAATTGGTTGTATGGAGCTACTTGCCAAAAGTAGCTGGCCAGCCAACCAACTACCAGAGTGTACAGCACACCATAAAGGCCCATGGTTAAGTCTTTCTCATTTTGATCCAAGATTTCTAACATAATGGCTCTGCAAAGACATTCCTCTGTGGCTTGAAAGCCTAAGCTACCACTTTTCCTGTCCTGTTTAATTGGAATGGCTGGGGCAAAACCTATAGGTCCTATGTCATAGGAACTGCTTGGCAACTTGCTTTGAGTCCATAAATGGTCTGAAATGGGTGGAGATGCTGAAATAACGACCTCCCCCACCAGCTCTGCCAGCACTTCAAGCTTGGAACCTGGTGAGGGGGGGGGGCTCCTACTTTTACAGCATCTCCTAAAAAGAGGTAATAACTGTCACTCCGTTACTTAGCTCACCAAACCACCAGCGTTTCCTGCCAAGCATTTACGGCATGGCAGCTCCACTGCAACCATGCTGAAATCATTTGGATTCTTTCGAGACGGCCTGAGTCAGCATCAACCTATTAGCGCAAACAGTTGTTATCAACTGCCTTAAACGCAGTTAAATAGGAAACACTGGAAAGTTTTGCTGTTGGAATCAGCTGGACTGCAGATGCTGCTGGGTCTGTTGGTTTTTTCTTTATGAATGAAAACTAGTCGCCAGGTTTCTTTCTTTCTTTCTCTTTCTTTCTTTCTTTCTCTTTCTTTTTCTTTCTCTCTTCTTTTTGCATTGCGGGAAATGCTGCACAGAAACTCTGCTCATTCTTTCTGGGAGTTGGTAACGGATTGTACAAATGCTCTCGAAGAAGATATTGGAGGGTTAAGAGACTTATTCTTTGGAATAGCAGTGAAAATGGATGGGATTACATCTTGCGTGTATGCACGTGTGTGTGTGTGTGTGTGTGTATGTATATCTATGTGTGTGTGTATATATATCACTTAGAATTATATACTACTTTATAGTGCTTGACAGCCCTAAGAGGTTTACAGAGTCAGCCTATTTCCCCTCCCAACAATCTGGGTCCTCATTTTACCGACTTCGGAAGGATGGAAGGCTGAGTCAACCTTGAGCAGGTCAGGATCGAACATCCGGCAGTCAGCAGAATTAGCCTGCAATACTGCATTCTAACCACTACGCCACCATGGCTTTTCATAGACATAAAAATAGAAAAATCTAGCTGGGACGTCAAAGGCAATAAATGTATAAGCAGTTCTTGGGGGGGGGGAGTCATAGCTCAGGTCCATCCAGAATGGTTCAAAACATTCCAGCTTATTTTCGCAACCTACCCAGAAGGGCAGGAGCTCTATCAAAGAAGTACAAGGAGACCCTTGCTCACTTACTTGACATGTTATTTTCGACTAGGGTCCTGTTTTGTTTTCGTTCTACAATTCTGAAGAGTCCCCAAGTAACTGTCAACTCTTAGAATATGGCAGATCTGTTTGTCTTACAATAACCATTCAGACAAATCCGGTCTATTGGCAAGACAATGAAAACCTGAAAATGAAAGTATGCTAAGAAAGGGGGATTAGTATACATCTTTAAATGGGAGGCCCCAAGATTGTCCAGTCTAGGTCAAAGGCTACAGGAGAACGTGCCAAAGGTTAGTGGGCTCCAGAGCAAAAGTTAGTTTTACTTTCAATGTATGTACATCGAATTAAAATGAAATCAATCCATGTCTTCCATTCATGTATTTCACGTTTTTTTCCCTTTCTTACAGTGAAAAATGATAATTTGGTAATGATTGTTGGAACTTTCCATGAGTTGCGGGGAAAACTTGTAAGGTCATCAGCTGGTGCATCTCTGGACAGCTAGAGAGAAACAGACCTAGTGGAAATTCACAGGGTTCCAATGAGGCAAAAAAGGATGAAAAGTGGATTTCAAACTAGGTGTAAAGAAACATGGATTTTTTTCTCCCTTTAATCGTTAAAAATAATGAAATAGGATTTAAAAATGGTGTCTGGTGCTGATACTTCCCTACTACTAGTAATAAAGAATTCTAAAGCCGTCATCAAAGAATAATTTTAAAAAAGAACAGAAAGCAGAGCAGGGCTTGGCTACCAACACTACATAGATTATTATTATTTTTTTGCCACCAATCACATTTTGGAAGTACTGAAATATTTTTAACTCTATACATTAAAAAAATAATAAAGCAAGAGCAGCAGTCCTTCTTTCAAATTCTACCTAAGCCGAGACAGCAGAGTGAAATAACGGTGGCTTGTATCTCATCCCGAGGATGCAAAGATTGATTGAAATGAAAAAAAAAAAATATGAGAGCCGTGAAAATTATTCCCGCAGAGTCAAAAACAGGAAGGTTTTTCTTTGACGGAGTATCATAGCATTAACTCCAGAAGCCAATCTTGGCGTGTGCAGAATTTCCCAGCATCACCTGGGTCAGGGAGCAAGTGAGAGGAAAAGGAAGCCCTTCAAATAAGATAACATTATGCTTGATGAGTGAACAATCTATCCCTGATGATTTAATTCTGACACTTTTGTGGGACCTCATAAAGGTGAACCCAGCACACAGTTTGGAACTTACAGTGCTGAAAGTATCTGTTTGAAATTATCTGATCAAACGGATGCTTTCTTGGAGCACCAGATAATAGACACTAATACATTAGTTTCATTTATACACACACACACACACCACACCACACCTTTTTAAGTTTTAAATTAGTTTTAAAAATTACTAATGCCATAACGCCGTCATGTTTTCACTGCAATCCAACCCAAACAGCATTTACTTTCCCCGGCTGTGCAAACTTACAGACAGATGTCCACCAGCTGATTTAGTTCAGGGCAGCTGCATTCGTACAAGTCTCGGCAGCTGGCATGGCTCTGATTCATTAAATCTCCCAGCAATGAGATGGCATCATCAGGTGCCTCCATGCAGATTTTCTGAAATTCCAAAACTCTGGCAGCTTCTGCATACACGTGCTTGGCACGCTGGTATAACTTAAAGGTGGTCACTGTGGAAAATAAAAGGGAGGGGAAATTGCAGGAAATAACGGAAACGTGAGATGATTTCTTACTGTCAGATGTAGCCGTGCAGCTTCAAATCCCATTGGTAAGGAAAAATGAGCTTTATTTCTCTTCTCTTTGCTCATCTTAGGGTATAAAACTTGGGCAGTTTGTCACAACCCTGGACTACAGGGATGGCTTCAGTGTGTGTGGAACCTCACTATGAGTAGCTGTTGAATGTGGATGGACTGATTTGCACAGCCAGAGGCAAACTGGAGCAGCCCACGAAAAGGAATGGCAGAAGACTCATCAACAGGTAGCGTGAAGAAAGAGATGTCTCAGTAAGTAGATTCAAGATTTAGGTCAAGGGTCTTCAAACCTGCCCTTTTATGAGTTGTGGACTTCAACTCCCAGAATTCCTCAGCCAGGCATGCCTGGCTGAGGAATTCTGGGAGTTGAAGTCCACAACTCATAAAAGGGCCAAGTTTGAAGACCCCAGATTTAGGTGTTTCAAACAGGATATCTGAACTGGGAACACTCAAGCCATTAGAGATCTTTTGACAAATATTACTGGCCAAGACTAATGGATTTCTTTCTCCTCTTGCTCCTTGGCATATGGGCATATGCAATTCTGGGAATGATCGTCAATGTGTATGCCAGGCACAAGGAACCTGAACAACACCGTAAGCTGATCAGAGTTGCTTCTTTATTGCTACCTGCCTATTTACAAGAATCTCACCAGAAGGACTACATTCTCTTTTGAATAGTCAGATAAAGGCTTCAGGAATTCTTGGGATGTATGTCTCTGGCCTCTGTCATTTCCTTGCCTGCAAGGACTCCAAGCTCTCCTGTCTTTTGACTCCTCACTCTAGCTGGAGATTCTACCACAATGTAGGAAGAACCGAACACGAATGAAAGCCAATCTACTTGTCCCAGGGTAATGTTGCAGGATCCAATCTAGACCGGTCACCGGAACCAAAAGTTTAGTCTTCCGAGCTTTCGGACACCTGCGGGAGCCCACCCTCAGGGAACTTCACTCTACTACAGTGGGTCAGGACCCCATTTGGGGTCGAGCGACCATTTCACGGGGGTCGCCAAACAACGCAGTCTGCCATTTTCCCCCCCTTTTCATTAGCTGTGCTACTCCCTTTTATTCTATTGGCTTTCGAAAGCCAATAGAATAGACTCTCTTGAATAGAGTCTAATTATTGGCTTTCAAAAGCCAATAGGAATTGTCCAGGCTGTCTCTGCCCTGCTGAGCCCGCCAAAAGTCCCCTTCTGCAAACGGTGCTGCACCAGTTGAGTGGTCCTCGACTTACGACCAGTTGAGTAGTCCTCGACTTACGACCGGTTCGGGGTCGCGGCATTAAAAAGGTTGAGAACCACTGCTCTACTAGAATGTGTGCGTAGAATACACATTCTGGTAGAGAGACGTTCCCTGGGGATGGGCTCCAGTATGAGTCCAAAAATTCGGAAGAAGAAGAACTGAACAGACTATGGTGCCCATAAAACTCCTTTTTATGACCCTGTAACCCCTTAATTTGAGGTAGGGTTGGAGATAAATTCATGCCATTCCCCACCGTCAATGTCTTGCTACGATCATCTGTTCCAGCTGGTTATAAGTGGGTGTGCCATTGGTCCTTTCTCCCCCCCTCCAGCACGAAGGGGGTATGGGAAGAAGAGAGGGAAGCAACAGTTCTTGGGAGGAGCCAGCAACTTCTGCAAGGTGCCAATATATATTTGGCTCGATATGAAACGCAGTTCTGCTTCGTAACAATGGACCCCATAGGACAAATGCTTGAACGTGTCATGGTTTTGGAATACGATTAAGCCTCACACAAATATTCCCCCCACCCCCTACAAAATAATAATAATAAAAGTGCTGAGTGCCCCGATCAAAATTGCTCTCTGGGGAGGGCCCACTGAACAATGGGTAGAACTTGCCCAATTCCCAGCCTACCAAATTCATTCAGTACATTTTGTCCTCCAGCTTATGAATTCATTGCAGCTCTGCTCTTTTTTTTTTTCTTTTTTTTGCACGGTTACTCCTGAAGTGTTCACAAAGAGGAAAAAATTTAGAAAACGCAACGCTCAGCCCTGGGCAACTTCTGTCCTCAGGATGGTTTACTCTCCCTCCTCCCCCCCCCCTTTTTTTTTTTAGTTTAAGGCAGGGGTCCTCAACCTTGACCACTTTAAGACTTGTGGACTTCAAGTCCCAGAATTCCTCAGCCAGCTTTGCTTGTGCACTTCAACTTGTGGACTTGTGGACTTCAACTCCACAAGACGTGTGGACTTGTGGACTTCAACTCCCAGCTTTGCTGGCTGAGGAATTCTGGGAGTTGAAGGCCACAGGTCAGGTTGAGGACCCCTGCTTTAAGGAATCGCTTCACCTGAAGGCTCTTTGAAACAACACCTTTTTCGTTTTGGACCCAACTGAAGTTGCGTGAGAGTTTGCCATCACTCATGCTCTCTTGTAAATCACCGCTGAACAGTAGTAAGGGGGGGGGGGAAAGAAAACTGAAAACACGTCTGGTTTCAATTTGGAGGCCAAGGCTTTGCCAAAGGCTGTCATTGATTCAAAGACCACCCTTTGGTAAAGCAATGCTTCCCTGGCCAGATTACCTTAAAGCACTTTGTGGTTCTTGCAGACACACCACGTTATGCGTTGGCAACCGGAATCCTCTGTTTGTTCCCGCCTGCCAGCCAGACCCTGAGAAGGCAAGGCCAGCCCCCCCCAACACGCGGTCCTGTTGCAGAAGGCTCCACAACCCTGCGTGTGTGATGGCTAACTCTAATCTAGCGTTGTCTTTTCCTTTTTTCTTGTGAACTGTTTTTTTTTAAAGGAAGGGTTGCTTTCTTTTTTTTTTTTAATGCAAACAACCGTAATCTAGTGTAATCTTTTCAATGATTACATCTCCAGTGAAAGAAACCAGGGTTGCATTGTTGTTTGCTTAGACCAGTGTTTTTCAACCGTGACCATTTTAAGGCATGTGGACTTCAACTCCCAGAATTCCACAGCCTTAAAATGGTCAAGGTTGAGAAACACTGGCTTACACTATTTTTTTCTTGGAAGCGACTGCTGGCCAACTGAAGCAAATCAGAAATGCTATCGCAGCATTCAACTTATGACCAGTTGAGTAGTCCTCGACTTACGACCTGTTGGGGGTCGCAGCATTAAAAAGGTTGAGAACCATTGCATTAGATATAATTTATCTTAAGAAACCCTGTATCAGTTACCAGTCTTGGGAGTACTTGAGACTGTCTGTCTTCAAGGAAGCCTTGGGACGTAAAATCCTGTTCCCCGAATTTATGCCGCTCGGTCCTATAGAGACTGTTTAATGTGTTGCTTTTTTGTTTTTGTAATAATTATTTGTATTCGAAATTTTGAAACATAAACAAAAGTGGTAATAAATCAATGAATTCAATGGTCAAGCAGCAACCCAACTTTTGATCCAGAGTGTTTGAGGCACAGATCATCGCAACTGCCAAAAACTAAAACATTTTAGAAAAGCCCTACCAAAGGTCACTTGGGACGTCTTGAAGACACTCTGCAACAATATATAAATACACTGGGGAAAAAATAGCGAAGAAGAGAGGCAGAAATGCACATTCGTAGTATTTGAGTATTCCAAACCCAAGCTTGGGGTTATATAAACAAAAGTTTCTTATATATTATAGATATATTAATTTACTTATTTCTTCTTTGCAACTAACCAAGTTTTCCCTTGTGCCAAGGAAAACAACATGATTGCTCCATGACCCATTTTTTTCCTGGTCTTATCAAACAAAATCGCATATGTTAAGAGAGATTCTACTTGACTAACATCTGCAAACACTAGATGAAATAACTTTTCCCGGGGGCTTTGGAAAATATTTCATAGAGTCTTGGTGTTTAAGAGAAAAGGGAGGGAAAAAAAGACGGGGCAAAATAATTGGAGTCTACAGCTCTCTACTTTTCTGGAACAAATCTGAAAAAGGATAGTCAACATGTCACTAACGTATCATTTCCTTCAAATAATGAGAATCAGCCCAGCAAATGTCCTTAAACAGCTCCGCCCTTTCTTCTTTGCTGGCTTTGCTCTCTGTGGCTTCTTTACTGTATTGCCAAGAGACAGCAAATGCTGGTACCCACCATCCATCTGGTCTCTTTTACAAGTAGAAAAATAACAAAGCCAATGACCACACAATCATAGATTCGGAGAAGGCTACCGAGGTCACAGAGCACATTCCTGTGGTCAGTGCAGGAACCTTAAGTAAAACATCTCTCTCAGATAGCTCCCCAGAGGTCTGAATGTTCTTCTACAGGAGGGCTACCACAGTATCCTCATTCTTCTCTTCTCCAGAGAGGCTGGGCGTTCCCAGTTTCTGCAATGTTCTCATATGACAGGGGTCTTCAAACTTGGCCCTTTTATGACTTGTGGACTTCAACTCCCAGTAATTCCTCAGCCAGCGTTCCTGGCTGAGGAATTCTGGGAGTTCAAGTCCACAAGTCACAAAAGGGCCAGGTTTGAAGACCCCTGTCGTATGACTTAGTTTCTGGTTCTATGAGAAACATAAACATGGACCCCTTTTCAACGTGGGGCCAACACTGAGAGTTTTTGAGATGAAAGTCCAATCAACGCAAAAGTGGACCAACTCGATTCTACCCATTGCAAACAGCATTTTCAAAATTACACCAAGTCTAGATGATGATTAGCCCTGTTGTTTGTGGAGATTCTCCGTCGTCCAGGTCATGGTTGTCCCAAAGGTGCTTTTTCAAGAGGCAACTGGACTTTCTTGATTTTCTTTGAAGACGTTTCACTTCTTGGAAGAGAAGAAAGAAAAACAAGAAAATCCAGTTGCCTCTTGAAAAAGCACCTTTGGGACAACCATGACCTGGACGACGGAGAATCTCCACAAACAACAGGGCTAATCATCATCTAGACTTGGTGTAATTTTGAAAATGCTGTTTGCAATGGGTAGAATCGAGTTGGTCCACTTTTGCGTTGATTGGACTTTCATCTCAAAAACTCTCAGTGTTCAGTGGTTCTCAACCTGTGGGTCAGGACCCCATTTGGGGTCGAACGACCATTTCACAGGGGTCGCCAAACAACGCAGTCCGCCATTTTTTTCCCCTTTTCCTTAGCTGTGCTACTCCCTTTTATTCTATTGGCTTTTGAAAGCCAATAGAATAGACCCTCTTGAATAGAGTCTAATTCTATTGGCTTTCAAAAGCCAATAGGAATTGTCCAGGCTGTCTCTGCCCTGCTGAGCCTGCCAAAAGTCCCATTCTGCAAACGGTGCTGCACCAGTTGAGTAGTCGTCGACTTACAACCGGTTGAGTAGTCCTCCACTTACAACCGGTTGGGGGTCGCGGCATTAAAAAGGTTGAGAACCACTGATCCACAAGAAAACAGTTAAGTTCAGAGACCACCAAGGGCCCCTCCAGTGTAGATGAGGCTGGTACTATTTCTGTGAATAATTGTGACTTGTAATCACAGGTCAAGACTCAATATACTGTATAAGAAATTGGGACTCAACCCTGGACTCAAACTGGATCCTTCTAAAAAAAAAATAACTTGTTTTCTTTCCTGTATTGCACTAAGTGGAAAAGGAAGATACAGATTTTGAATATAATCATAGTCATGGATGTTACTGGCTGCTTATAATCACGGGCAGCAACAGTGAAGATTGTTAAGACAAGCTATTACAAGAGAATTGAGTTCCTTTCCCAAGTTATCCTAAAGAAGAAATGATCAAGAGAAAAACAGCATCCATGTATTTCGAAGAAGAGAATACACTCCAGGATAACTTAAGACGACAAACGTTTTGAAAACATGCCGGTTTTAAGTTGCTCTGATCAAATGTCAGAACCAGAATTTCTGCCCTGTTAGAATGATCGTGTAATGGAAGTTGAGGAATTGGTGGGGGAGGGGAGCGCCGATGTAATTATTCTTCAGTTCTTGTTGCATCTTAAAGCCATTAGGTAGGGTACACTGAAATCTAGTTTTATGCTGGGTGATTTTCATGGATATAAAATGGAACCACCATTTGGGTTGCTTAGACTGTAATAAAAGATGGCTTTATCTCTCTATGCCTCCCATGGTGTGTTGAAAAATCCTGGGTTGCAGATTGCTGATGAATCTCTAGGTAAGAATTGCTAAAGGTTGCATAAAAGATCGATACCAATTTACTTGTAACTGTCATCTTCCCCTTGCCGTGACTGGGCAGCCATTTGAATCAGATCTCTGAACCCAAAGCTCGTTTCGCTTCTCTCTTGCGTTACACGAGTCATTTGGAGAAAAATGCTCCTTCTTAACTATGGTTGAACAAGCACATCCACAACTTGCTTCTGCCGAACGCCAGAAACCCATATGTAACTGACAGCTATCCTAGAAAGATGTCATCTCTAAGTCCACTGATCTGGTTCCCTGGAGCCAAATTACAGCTGAATGCAGTGCCCAGGACATGTTTTTTCAGATCCTTTTTCACATTGATTATTTAAAGTCCTTGGCACAGACAGAAATGCTAAATTGCTTCTGGCATCGCCAGATTGGCATGCTACTTACCATCTTGTGTGTTCTGGCTAAGGATCTGAGTGCGTAGCTCTGTGGGGTTAATTCCCAGGTTTTCCCCAATTTCCTCTATGCTGTAAGGCTCAGGGTGAAATGCCTCTTCAACCACAGCCAGCATGTCCTCCAAGCTTAGCTTCAGCTTGACTTGCACGTCTTGGAGTTTTGCCACCGCTCTCCAGTCTAGGCCTCTGGATTTTGCTAACAGCTGAAACGAGCAAAGTATAAGTAGGTCTTTGGTTGCAAAATTAGGAACAGAAAGAAGTTAATCCAAACATTTCTTAAAGAGACCTTAGAAACGTTTCTTTTCTTGAAAAGAAAATACTTAGAACAGGGGTCTTCAAACTGGGCAACTTTAAGACTTGTGGACTTCAACTCCCAGAATTCCTCAGCCAGCCCTGGCTGGCAGAGGAATTCTGGGAGTCGATGCCCACAAGTCTTAAAGTTGCCCAGTTTGAAGACTCCTGAATTAGAAGAACATGAAGTGATGAAGCATTGACTGTCAGGTGACTTTAGCAGCCAAAGATTTTTGCTCGACAAAATAGAATGCCAAAGATGGAGAGGGGGAAAGCTCTCGGCTCCTTTAAATTTGGAGATTTTTGAAACATTATATAGATACTATAAAAAAATAAAACATAAGCAAAGTTCAGTTTGACCATAAGAAAAGCTGAGCGCCAAAGAATTGAGGGCTTTGAATTATGGTGCTGGAGAAGATTTCTGCGTGTCCCCTGGACTGCAAGGCGATCCAACCGGTCAGTCCTAGAGGAGATCTACCCCGACTGCTCTTTAGAAGGCCAGATCCTGAAGTTGAAACTCAAATACTTTGGCCACCTAATGAGAAGGAAGGACTCACTGGAGAAGAATGCTGGGAAAGATTGGGGCAATAGAAGAAGGGGACGACAGAGAATGAGGTGGCTGGGTGGCTGGATGGAGTCACTGAAGCAGTAGGCGTGAGCTTCAATGGACTCCAGAAGATGGTAGAGGACAGGAAGACCTGCAGAAACATTGTCCATGGGATCGCGATGGGTCAGACATGACTTCGCAACTAACAACAACAAAAGGTTCAATATATATAACCCAATGGTCATATTAAAAAATGGCATCTCAAACGCCTCATGGAAGTTACAAACAAGGTATAAAGCTCACATTTCCCTCTTATTTATCCTTTAGCATTCAGAGATAGACAAGTCATTTTCTGTAGCTGTCTAGACCAGGGGTCTTCAAACTTGGCCCTTTTATGACTTGTGGACTTCAACTCCCAGAATTCCTCAGCCAGCATGGCTGGCTGAGGAATTCTGGGAACTGAAATCCACAAGTCATAAAAGGGCCAAGTTTGAAGACCCCTAGTCTAGATGAATGTTAATAGACTCTCCTTCATTTACTTCTCCCATCGTTGGAATGATCATCTAATCCGTCTTGAATGTTCTGGAACACAGTGCTGATCCTTAATGTGATTTAATCTTAGTTCAGTTCTTCTCATGCAGCCCTCCCGGAGTGATGGATTTTAAGCGCAACAAAAATACATGGAGTGGATTCCTTTGGGGCATAATCTAGCAGAAATAAAGGCCTTTCAGGACCGCCGTTGAAAGGAATAAGAACTTTATCAAACCTGGTCCAGACAGAATTTCCTCCTCACATTAGCAAGCCGGAGGAAAGCATCATTGGGAATTTTCCTATCTCACACATGAGAAAATAGCAGGCGACTCTTTTGGAGACCGGTGAAAAAGGTTGGACATTTTCTTGGCCCTATTAGCAGGCCAGGCCGAGTGGAGATCCCTGATACTTAAGGCTGCCTGCCAACAAATCTTCAAAGGAATATTCCAGCAGCTGACGGATTCATGTATCCCGAGAATGGTGGGCTATTTGTGGAACGATTATTTCTGCCCTGGTTAATTTTGATCTAACCTGGACAACTGTGCCTGCTCTTTCCTCAGAGGTTTCTATTGGCATGGAAGAAATCGGCCAATCGGAATGCAAAGGTTTTTGCAGAGTCACCGGCAACGCAGACCACCCCAAAACCTAAGAGGACAGGTGGTCCTCGACTTACAAAGAGTTCATTTAGTGACCGAAGTTACAATAGCTCTGAAAAAAAGGGATTTGTGACCGTTTTTCACACTTACGACCTTTGTAGCATCCCCCCTGGTCACGTGATCAAAACGTGGACGCTTGGCAACCGGCTCCTATTTACGGTGGTTGCCATGTCACGTGGTCACGTGATCCCCTTTGCCGACCTTCCGGCAAGCCAAGTCAGTGGGGGAGCCAGATTCACCGAGCATCCGTGTCACTAACTGAACCACTACAGTGATTCCCCTAATCTCTGTGGCAGGAAAGGTCGTAAAATGGGGCAAAACTCACTCCGCGACTGTCTCGCTTAGGAACACAAATCTCAGGCTCCATCATGGCCATAAGTCAAGGACTAGTGGCATGGGCGTTTTCCCAAACGTGAGCCGAGGCGGTTTCCGTGGCAAAAAACGTGGCACCATCAGAGAAGCAGCTCTGAGCTTTTCGTTTCTAAGCGAAGCCCCCCCCCCAGCCTGCTTAAGTTGGACCTTCTGGCCTGGGTTTCAGGCAGGGTGCCTGGGTGGGTTAATCTGCAGCGATTCAGCGGCCGTGAAAGATCGTGCCTGGTCAAAGGCATTTAGTGGCATAGCGAGACATGCGCTGCGTCTCGGAGAGGCCTGAGTCACATTAGGTCCTGGCGATGGTCCAGCTTCTGCTCGGCCAGAGCGGTGGTTGTGGTTACTTTCCCTGAAGACAAGGGTGCAAAAATACACTTAGTGATGAAACCTTTCATTGTAAATATCCCCAAACGCCATTGTTTGTTTCCTTCAGGTTTTTTTTTTTTAACTCAGGGGGTTTTCTGTAAGGAGAAACATATTTTGAACCACAGCTGTGCCTAAATGGAGAAGCTTGTTCTCCTCTTCCTCGACACCTAGGTTGTTAAACATTTTCCAAACATTTCTTCTTCTTCTTCTTCTTCTTCTTCTTCTTCTTCTTCTTCTTCTTCTTCTTCTTCTTCTTCTTCTTCTTCTTCTTCTTCTTCTTCTTCTTCTTCTTCTTCTTCTTCTTCTTCTTCTTCTTCTTCTTCTTCTTCTTCTTCTTCTTCTTCTTCTTCTTCTTCTTCTTCTTCTTCTTCTTCTTCTTCTTCTTCTTCTTCTTCTTCTTCTTCTTCTTCTTCTTCTTCTTCTTCTTCTTCTTCTTCTTCTTCTTCTTCTTCGTCTTCTTCTTCTTCTTCTTCTTCTTCTTCCTCCTCCTCCTCTTCTTCTTCTTCTTCTTCTCCTCCTCCTCCTCCTCCTCCTCCTCCTCCTCCTCCTCCTCCTCCTCCTCCTCCTCCTCCTCCTCCTCCTTCTTCCTGTCCTGTCGTTCAACCCCAAATGGGGTCCCAACCCACAGGTTGAAAACCACTGGTCTAGTTTCTTTAAACCTTCTCTTTAAATCACAAGAGGGACTCAACAGAGGGAGATTCGTTTGAGCAAGGTTAAAAAAACAACAGTGAAGATATTTTTGAATGCTGATGGAGATACTAGTGGCAAATTGAAGGCTACTAGGTAGAACCCAGGAAGAGCCAGTCTTGGTGTAATACTTAAGGTGCTGGGCTAGAAACTAGGAGACTCTGAATTCTAGCCATGCCTTGGGCATTGTGACAGCACGGGGACCTTGGGCTGGTCACTGTCTCTCAGCCCTTGACAGGAGAGAATGAGAAACTAGTGCTGAAATCTTGTCAAGAAAACTGCAGGGATTGATCCAGGCTGCCGTCAGAATTCAGCACCGTCTCCAAAGCACAGACCAAGAAAAAAATGTAGACACCAAGCACGTTGCAGTTATAACAACTGTGGGTCCGAAGTTCCCGTTTTCTCCTCTTCCTCACCCCCCAAGTAAAACTGTATTAGACGGACCACATCATGCAGGCCTTCTCCTTAGCCTGCCCTGGCCAGTTCAAAGGGGACGGAGCTGTCTTCCGAGCAACGGTATTTTTCCTTTGTTTAATGTTAAGGACTGATCAAACTTTCTCTTGCACTTCATTTGACAATCATGACTCCAACGCAAGGCATTTCCTGGCAGTTAACGATCAGATGGCGAAAGGATTGGCCGTCTCTTCCAGGCTCGCCTTTCGCTGCCAAGATAATGTTCCTTTTTTCTGGCACTTCTGCCTGGATATTGCTGTCAGGCTGCAGGCTAGTTTGGGAACCACATTCTTACGCTACACACATTTATATCGTTTTCATTCCAGTTCACTCTTTTGCCTGCCCCCCCCCCATCCCGAAGAATTCGGGAAAGTGTAATTTGATGAGATTGCTAAAGCAACGCCAGGAATCCAAGTTGGCCCGGCAACATTTGGGTGAATAGAGAAAGGGCCAGAGGGTTAGTGTTTTGCTTCATACCATGCTGGGTCCTCGTCGGATTCCCAAGCTTCTTTCAAAGGCTTGGAACACAGGAGAAGTTGGTGAGGCTGGTACAATGGGAAGAATGGCCACCATATTGCCTAACCCAAGTTTGGCATGGCTGTACAGCCAGTTTGGTCTAATGGTTAAGGCACTGGGCCAGAAAGCAAAAGACTCCCTAGTCCAGTGGTTCTCAACCTGTTTAATGCCGCGACACCCCCCCCAACCGGTCATAAGTCGAGGACTACTCCACCGGTCGCAAGTCGAGGACTGCTCAACTGGTGCAGCAGCACCGTTTGCAGAATGGGACTTTTGGCAGGCTCAGCAGGGCAGAGACAGCCTGGACAATTCCTATTGGCTTTAGAAAGCCAATAGAATTAGACTCTATTCAAGAGAGTCTATTCTATTGGCTTTCAAAAGCCAATAGAATAAAAGGGAGTAGCACAGCTAAGGAAAAGGGGGGAAAAAATGGCGGACTGCGTTGTTTGGCGACCCCCGTGAAATGGTCGTTCGACCCCAAATGGGGACCCGACCCACAGGCTGAGAACCACTGCCCTAGTCCCACTTTAGGCCTGAAAGCCGGTTGGGTGACTTTAGGCCCATCACCGGGAGACCATGAGTTCTAGTCCTGCCTTAGCCATGAAAAACAGCTAGGTGTCTTCGGGCCATCTCTCTCTCTTTCTCCGTCGAACTCGTAAGGTTGTTGGCAAAATAGGAAAGTGTGTTGGTTTGCTGCCTTATTTGTAAAAATAATAAAGGAGGGATCTACTGTAAATATATGAGCCGAGGTGGCGCAGTAGTTAGAGTGCAATACTGCAGGCCACTTTAGCTGACTGTGTTCAGCAGGTCAGCGGTTCAAATCTCACCAGCTCAAGGTTGACTCAGCCTTCCATCCTTCCGAGGTAGGTAAAAAGAGGACCCAGATTGTTGGGGGCAATGTAAATATATACATACATTGCTTACTGGTGTACACCACTTAGAGAGTGCTTGCACTTAAAAGTGGTATATGAGTCTCATAAATAAATAAATAAATATTATAAAAAAAGAAGCACTAATGCAGGAGGTTTCCTCAGGTAGCAAAATCTCTGGAGATCCCTCTTTTTATAACTTGCTGGCTCACCGGTGGAACATGCACCTATCCTTCCTTACTTCTTAGTAAGCACAATTCACTTACTGGAGGGCTTACTAGAACCTTTACATACTATTGTGCAGTAGTGGGATTCAGCCGGTTCGCACCACTTCGGCAGAACCGGTAGCTAATTTTTTGTTGCCCAGGCCCAAAACAGACTTCCAGAAGCGGCATCCACACAAAGAACCGGTTGTTCACGTTTGAATCCCACCACTGATATCGGGTACATAGTCCTGGTTGCCGATGAAACATTTTGCCCCAAGAGTTCCTTAACACCAATCTCAGAAGCTGATTTTTAATGCTGTCCTGCTTTTTGGGGGAGGGGGGGGGTTTCCTCCTCGCTGTGCAAATGCTTCTTCCTTTTCCACGGCTGAGGGACCATCCCCCTGCTCTCCTTGCGTGAGAACCCTCTCATGGAAGAGCCTTCCTGCCTTCTCAGGCAGATCTCTTTTACTAGCCTGCTCTCCAAATGGGCTGGATTCCATCCCGACTTCCATCCATCATGTGTCGATGGCCTGAGTCCAGATCCCAGAGAGATAAACATGTCCTTTGAGGCAGCACCTGACCTGGTGTTAAAATAAAGCAACAACTGGTAGAGTGGAAGGGTGTTCCAGCCAACACATATTTGGGTGATGGTTTCATTAGAGTTTGATGAAAGCCATACAGTACCTTCGTAGCCAGACGACACTCCATCACCCTAATATTGAAATGCGAAGTCGCGGCCTTGTTCATTTCAACGCAACTGTTTGCAATCACAAAAACTGCTCCTCCTGGAAGCTTCACGTCGGTTGCCTTCAGAGGATTAAATTCTATCAGCTTTGCCTACGGAGAGGAAGAGCAGAGAGTAATTTCAACGGGTAGCCTGGATGTGTTTAGGATCAATAAATCAAACATCTCTGCCTTTGGACATTTTTTTTCCCTCCTTCATCTCAGGGGAATCTCAAATGAATTAACAGAAGAACTAACATCACAGCAAACTAAGCTATTTATGAAGGCTGGTACAAAGTTACTCCCTGAGACCTGGGTGCATTTCCCCCCCCCCCACTAGAGAAGAGTTCCTCAATTTTGTCATCCAGAATATTATTAAAGTTCCCTTGATTTGATTTTGTTTTACCTTCCACAACTGAAAAACTTACAGATAGTCACTGTAATTTAGCAGAATACATTGGAGGTCATCTAGTCCAACCCCCTGCTCAGGCAGGAAACCCTATATCATTTCAGACAAATGGCTGTCCAGTCTCTTCTTAAAAACTTCCAGTGTTGGAGAATTTACTGCTTCTGGAGGCAGGTTGTTCCACTGGTTAATTGTTCTAACTGTCAGGAAGTTTCTCCTTAGTTCTAGGTTGCTTCTCTCCTTGATTAGTTTCCATCCATTGCTTCTTGTCCTGCCTTCGGGTCCTTTGGAGAATAGCTTGACTCCCTCTTCTTTGGGGCAGCCCCTGAGATATTGGAATACTGCTATCCTGCCCCCCCTCGTCCTTCTCTTCATTAAACTAGACATTCCCAATTCCAGCAACCGTTTCTTATATGTTTTAGCCTCCAGTCCCCTAATCATCTTTGTTGCTCTTCTCTGTACTCTTTCTAGTGTCTCAACATCTTTTTTACATTGTGTATATTACATACATACATACATCCGTACATACATACATACCTGGCCTACAATAAGTCAAAAGGTATTTTTAATCAGAAAGTCTTGCACAACTTAATCAGAAAGTCTTGCACAACTTAAACGTGTCCAATTATAAGAAAGAGCAAGATGACACTCTACGTTCTTCCCTTCCTGACAACATTGCACATATTTCAGCTCTTTGCCTGTTTGTTATCGTCTCAATTATTCCAAAGCATCTCTTGAGCACCTTCCTTAACTGTTCGGGCGATACATACAGTTCCTTTTTCTGCCAGAAAGCAGATGGACTGGTCCATGCCGCCTCCTTCAGTGCCAATGTAGCGTTCACACTTGCTGCACAGGTCAGCCAGTTCCACCTAAAGGGATACAATGGTCAAGGCAGAGAGAGTTTAGAGGATATCCTTGCACTGATTCAGTGCTGGTATAACTTTGAGATGGTTATTACCATCATTTTATGCCTTTGAGTCAGCACACAAAACCACGCACTCTCCAGTCCGCGGAAAAAACTCTCTCCAGGGAACCGGTCCCTGGTGCCCAAAAGGTTGGGGGCCTCTTGAGCAGTGGGTTGGATTAGAAGACCTCCAAGGTCTTTTTCAGCTCTGTTATTCTGTATTCTATTCTATATTATATTACAGAGCCCCCCCACCCTTCTCTAAGGCAAGCTCTCTGCAGAAGAGTTGGACACTTCATTTTCAAAAAGTCTTTTTTTGCAAATATAATCCGGATGTTTGTATCAGTTGGCAGCTATTAATCCCAGATTGACAGCACATAAATTGAGAATGTTTATCACTGGTGGTTATACAAGAGACTGTGTTTAGGCTTTTTATGTTTATGCAATGAAATAACGTTTAATCAGAAAATATCTAATCAGAAGAGCAGAAAAACAACATTATCAAGAGCAGTACCACAGTCTGCAAAACGGCACCCACTCTACCAATACATGCTAAATACGGTCACAAACATTTAACAAAAACAGACCAGTTTTTGAGGATAATACTGTTTCGAGCAAGCCCCTTTGCCGATTTCAACTCCTTGCTTTTAATTGTAAGTTTTGAGCTTTAAAACAAAACATACTTTCATTGTGTTCATTGTTTTCCTTGGACAACCTCAGTTGATAAAACCCGGCATTTTACCCAATTCTGTAGGTTAAAACCTAGAAGACTAGTGGGATCTAGTTCTGCTTTGTTCTGACTTGAACACCAAATTCTACTTTGAAAGAAAGGGATGCTATAGTAGACCAAGGACTGAAACTCCTTCTCCCAATTAACCCTATGCTGGTTGCTGTCACACTTACTAAACCAGGGGTGTCCAATCTTGGCAATTTTAAGAGTTTGTGGACTGCTGGCTGGGGAATTCTGGGAATGGAAGTCCACAAGTTTTAAAGAGGCAACTGGACTTTCTTATTTTCCTTGGAAAAGCAAGCTTGTTGGAGGAGAAGCGAAACGTCTTCAAAGAAAAACAAAGAAAGTCCAGTTGTCTCTTGAAAAAGCACCTTTGGGACAACCATGACCTGGATGACGGAGAATCTCCACAGACCCAAGTTTTAAACTTCCCAAGGTTGGACACCCCTGTAAGAGACCATAAACCAGCATTAAGTCACAATGTCTTTCTTGACTAGAGCTCATAAGCATGTTAGCATAACCAAAGCAGCATAACCAAAGCTCTCAAAAGGCAAACAAAGTCATATTGGTCTCAGCACTTAGGAAGACCATTAGGTGGTAGAAAAATCCCCACCGCCATCTAATGGTGGTGCAGGAGTTGCTTTTCACCCAAAGCTGAGAATTACATCCTTCATTGCTAACTTATGCACCCAACTCTAGAGGTCTTTATCCCAGCATGAGGCTCCATAAGGATCGGATTCCAACAGCTGAGTCTGCAGCTAGAGGAGTGGGAAATACAGGAACGCTCGGCTGTCTATAGAGATTCTCAATCATCCAGATCATGGTTGTCCCAAATTAAGTCCAGTTGCCTTTTGGAAAAACACCTTTGGGACAGGTGCCTGGTTGTAAGAAAAGACTCTCTTGAAGTCATGGTCTACTCCAGTGGTGACGAACCTATGGCATGGGTGCCAGAGGCAGCACTCAGAGCCCTCTCTGTGGGCACGCACGCCGTCGCCCCAGTCCTAGGCCTTCAGCTGGGTTTTATAAAACCTTTTTGATTTAGGCCTCCACCGCCATGTGCAAAAAAAAAAAAAAGGTTCAATCAATCAATTAATTTCATCTCGTGGGGAAAAAAAAGATCTTGCAAAGTTGGAATTGATTGATTGAACTTTTTAGTCCCACCCAGTCTGCCATTACCTCCGCAGCCATGCCCAGCCAATGGGCCACGCCCACCCGGCACCCGACGATGCCTAAGTGGGTTTCGGGTTGCAGTTTGGGCACTCGGTCTCTAAAAGGTTCGCCATCACTGGTCTACTCCAAAGTTCATGTATTTGGCATGCCTTAATGAGCAACTTCTGATGCAGGAAAGGAGTTTTGTAGGTCAAGGATCAAAGCCTTCACATAATTACAGCCTAGGGATGGAACAGTATTGGGGTCAAGTAGGGTATTCTGACATCGGTCATGTGCCAAGCTCCTGATTATAGATAAATTTTGTAATCCTCCCTTGTTAAAAGGTTTCTTGCTCAAGGTTCAGGCCTTCTTGCTTAATTTCATTCCAGTCTTGTTGCTGATCTTTGGATAGCCTCCAGATTGCCTGGTTGCCTCATAATGGCAGAAAGTTACTTCCTTGGCCTCTCTGTTTTCTGGTCTGTCAACTAGGATAATTGTGAGTAGGAGCCATTAATTCCAGCTCTCTCTCACTTTCTGTTCTTTAATTAGTTTCCAGAGTCTTTCAATAGGTCAATAGGTGGGTTTACCGGTCTGAGAATCACTGGCATTTCATGATAGGGTTACTGAGATGGGCTGTGTTTTTTTCAAAACATAAATTTGGCCAGATCCTGAAGCTGAAACTCAAGTACTTTGGCCACCTAATGAGAAGGAAGGACTCACTGGAGAAGAGCCTGATGCTGGGAAAGATGGAGGGCAAGAGAGGATGGGACGACAGAGAAGGAGGTGGCTGGATGAAGTCCCTGAACCAGCAGCCCTGGCTGGCTGAGGAATTCTGGGAGTCGATGTCCACAAGTCTTAAAATTGCCCAGTTTGAAGACCCCTGAATTAGAAGAACATGAAGTGATCAAGCATTGACTGCCACGTGACTTTAGCAGCCAAAGATTTTTGCTTGACAAAATAGAATGCCAAAGATGGAGAGGGGGAAAGCTCTCGGCTCCTTTAAATTTGGAGATTTTTGAAAAATTATATAGATAACATAAAAAAATAAAACATAAGCAAGGTTCAGTTTGATCATAAGAAAAGCTGAGCGCCAAAGAATTGAGGGCTTTGAACTATGGTGCTGGAGAAGACTCCTGTGGGTCCCCTGGACTGCAAGGCGATCAAATCAGTCAGTCCTTGAGGAGATCTACCCCGACTGCTCTTTAGAAGGCCAGATCCTGAAGTTGAAACTCAAATACTTTGGCCACCTAATGAAAAGGAAGGACTCACTGGAGAAGAGCTGGGAAAAAATGGAGGGCAAGAGAAGAAGGGGACGACAGAGAATGAGGTGGCTGGATGGGGTCACTGAAGCAGGAGGCGTGAGCTTAAATGGACTCCAGAAGATGGTAGAGGACAGGAAGGCCTGGAGGAACGTTGTCTATGGGGTCACGATGGGTCGGACACGACTTTGCAACTAGCAACAACAACAACAAATTGGGATGGCTACTTTCTGATGGCACATCAGTTTCCCCCCCCCCGATGTTTGTTTTTTTAAAAACAAAAAACAAAAAAAAACAAGGGAGCATTGTTGCTACCTTCTATTTTTGTTTAGGGACAGGGAGGGAGTGTTAGCATTTCAGTTTGCAACACAGTCATGGAACCCTGCACTATAGCGCAGGGTTGGGGAAGAAGAGAATGCTCTTTCAGCAACATACTTCTATTATTATTATTATTCTCAATCATCGCACAGTCAGCCAGATGTTCAGACTGGATTTGGCATTTTGTCTACCTATCGAGTCCTTACCCAGGACCTGGGATAGGCAGATGTAGATGTTTGATGGTATTACAGATATCGTCGCAGGATGGAAGCAGTTCCTAATAAGGCCGCCTTTTGCAATTGACTAATAGCAAATTTATCAATGCCAATGGTGTTCAAGTGGTGCTCCAGTTGTTTTGGGATTGCGCCCAAGGAGCCTATGACTATTGGTACTACCCTTGCTTGCTTTTGCCACAGTCTTTCTATTTCTATTTGTAGGTCTTTGTATTTTGTTATCTTCTCCAGTTCTTTCTCTTCTATTCTGCTGTCTCCAGGCACTGCCACGTCCACTATCCAGACTTTATTATTATTATTATTATTATTATTATTATTATTATTATTATTATTATTTTAAATCTAATCGAAATAAATAGGAAGCTTTTATTTCTATTATACTTAAAATAATAACAAGGTAAGCGTGTTGCTGAAAGAGATGTGAAATTCTCTCCTTCCCCAACCCTGCGCTACAGTGTTCTTTGTCCTTAAAACATGTATTTGTTCGTTTCTCATGAATTCAGAGATACAGCCCAGAGATGTTTCTCACGATTCCTTTGCCAAACTGGTGAGCTGTTTTTCCATATCCAAAGCAGCTTCCCCTACTTTATAAGAATATTCATGACCCATCTCCAAAAGGCCTTCCGTTCTGGTCAAATATCTTTCCATCTGTTAACTTGGGCGAGAGGCAGTTTGCTGTAGTGATCAAGGCACCAAGTTAGGAACTAGAAGGCTGCGAGTTCTAGTCCTGCTTTAGGCACAAAGCTGGCAGTCTTGGGCCAGTCACTCTCTCCCAGCCCTTGGAAGCAGGCAACGGCAAATTACTTCTGAACAATCTTGCCCAAAAAACCCGTAGGGACCAGCCAAGCAGGCAGCTGCCAAGAACCGACACTGACTCAAAGGCATAAAATGATGGTAATAATTTAGGTCAGGGTGATCTCTGGGATACTATTCAAAAGAAAGTGTGATTTCTGGCATGAAGAAGATTGTGTATGTCTACTCTGTCAGTGAACAAGTTCTGGTCATGTGCTGCAAATCCACCTCCTCCTCCAGCCGTTCTATAAGGCTGGGGGGGGGGGCGGAGAGGGAAAGAAAGAGCAGATTGCAAAAACCAAGTTTATGCAATATTAGATCTTCATCTTGGTCAGACCAACTTCTTGAGCCATTTACTGACCCTGCCCAGAGAGATTTTTAGACAAAACAAAACTGGACCCAGTTGTTTTTTTTCTTAGATACTGTAGTGCCGATTTATGCTGCAAGTGATTAACTGCCCACATCTGGTTTACCATATTTCCTTTGAACTTCTTCGCATTTTTTAAAAAAAAGTTACTTTAGGGAAAGGGAGATAATTTACGGTTTGATTTCTACATCAGTCAGAACACACTCTCAAAAAAAAAAAAAAATCAGAACGCACTCTCCTCTGAATTGTTTGACAACATGCAAAATGTGTCGCTTAAAACAGCGCCCGCCTTTCAAGTTTTAACACTGCAACTGTGTTCTTTTTATATGCTATTTTTCTCTTTAATGTTCAGTATACCGATAAACACTTGAAAATCATGTTCTTAACCTAATCAAAGTACAGCCAAAATGCACTTCAGCCATGAGTTTAAGTGATTTTATGATTAGAACAGAACTTTTGCACAAGATCTAGGGACCTCAGATGTATATTGAACTTCAACTGTCAGAACTGAAAAGATTTTGGGCAATTTTAAGTCAATCGCTCTGTGTTCAAGAAGGAAACAGATTACAACATTAGAAACACTTTTTTTCTGTTATGAAATAACAAACTTACAGAATAAAGATTGCGCAGATTGTTGCCTCTTTGCTACAAACAGAAATGAAGCATTTTCCAGTACAAAGATATGGAAATAATTTAGCAAGCTTTGTCTGATTACAGTGTGCCAGAATACTAGTCTGTGATGGTTTTAAAGTTTGCAGTTCTCTTGGTAAACTAACTCTGCTAATTTTTTAAAGATGGCATTGATCTGAGTGGGTCTACTTTGAATTCTTTCCTTAGATCATTCGTCAAAGGCTTTCCAACCTTTAACACGCTATTTAACTACGGCTCTTCTTCTGCAAATTAAGCAGTAGAGCTCTGAGCATAGCATAAAACCGTGGTTAACAGTCGTCGCAAAAAAGGACTTTTTCATCTAGCAAAGCAATTGGATAATCCATCCTGAAAATTCACGTCGCCTCCACGCTGTTGTCTGAAATTTAATCATGAAAGTGCCAAGCAGATCTCTCTGGGACTGGCATTCAGTAATGCCATGTTAATACCCAGAGGTTTCTGTCCTCACTTATCACCACGTTAGCGCTGGTGGTGCAGCACCGGGTAATGCATTCACCGCTTCTGGAGGCAGGTGGTTCCACTGGTTAATTGTTCTCACTGTCAGGAAGTTTCTCCTCAGTTTTAGGTTGTTTCCCTCCTTGATTAGTTTCCATCCGTTGCTTCTTGTCCTCCCTTCAGGCACTTTGGAGAATAGCTTGACTCCCTCTTCTTTGTGGCAGCCCCTGAGATACTGGAACACTGCTATCCTGTCCCCCCTCGTCCTTCTCTTCATTAAACTAGACATACCCAATTCCAGCCGCCTTTCCTTATATGCTTTAGCCTCCAGTCGCCCGTCAGCGGCATTATCCCAGCGGAGCGCATCCGTTACGAAGAAGGAAAATACCCCTGGTAGTCCTTGATTTAGCCGAGGTGGCGCAGCAGTTAGAGTGCAGTACTGCAGGCCACTTTAGCTGACTGTGTTCAGCAGGTCAGCGGTTCAAATCTCACCGGCTCAAGGTTGACTCAGCCTTCCATCCTTCCGGGGTAGGTAAAATGAGGACCCAGATTGTTGGGGGCAATGTAAATATATATATACATTGCTTACTGGTGTACACCGCTTAGAGAGTGCTTGCACTTAAAGCGGTATATAAGTCTCATAAATAAATAAATAAATAATCCATCCTGAAAATTCACGCCGCCTCCACGCTGTTGTCTGAAATGTAATCATGAAAGTGCCAAGCAGATGTCTCTGGGACTGGCATCCAGTAATGCCATGTTAATACCCAGAGGTTTCTGTCCTCACTTATCACCACGTTAGCGCTGGTGGTGCAGGCACCGGGGTGATGCAGCGTTTCTGGGAAAGATTAAGGTTGCTTGAGAAGGTTCTTACGACATAAGCCTTAATGACAAGTGGATGCAGCCCGGGACGTGACGTGACAGAATCTCCTCTTACTTAGAAAAAACAGGCTAGGATTAAGTTGGGATAGCAGAGAACATTTGGGAGAGGAAGTACCGAAGGACTCAGCTCAGTACAGGTAGTTCTCAATTTACAACAGTTTGTTTAGTGACTGTTCCAACTTATAATAGCACTGAAAAAAGTGACTTATGACCGTTTTTCACACTCATAAGCGTTGCAGCATCCCCAGGGTCATGTGATCAAAATTCAGATTTTTGGAAACTGACTCATCTTTATGACGGTTGCAGAGTCCTGGGGTCATGTCATCCCCTTTTGTGACCTTCTGACAAGCAAAGTCAGAACAGAACAGAATAGAATAGGGAATAGAGAATAGAATATAGAATAGAATAGAATAGAATAGAATAGAATAGAATAGAATAGAATAGAATTAGAATAGAGTAGAGTAGAGTAGAGTAGAGTAGAGTAGAGTAGAGTAGAGTAGAGTAGAGTAGAATAGAATAGAATAGAGCTGGAAGAGACCTTGGAGGTCTTCTAGTCCAACCCCCTGCTCAGGCAGGAGACCCTATACCATTTCAGACAAATGGCTGTCCAGTCTCTTCTTAAAAACTTCCAGTGTTGGAGCATTCACTGCTTCTGGAGGCAGGTAGTTCCACTGGTTAATTGTTCTAACTGTCCTTAGTTCTAGGTTGCTTCTCTCCTTGATTAGTTTCCGTCCATTTAGTTATTTAATTAAAGACTTACTGACTCAACATCTGCAGCAATTCACTTAACAACTGTTAATCTCCTGGCGAATTGGAAGATTGAAGACCGCAGGAGGCCCTCAACCCTGCACAACCTGCCCAGCTGGGTTTGTCTCTCCCTTCCACCCTCTGCCCACATAAGCGCCATGACCTCAGTGGGAAGAATCCAGAACACGACTAGATCGGCTGTTAAATGGTTGCTGCCCTTTTATTGACCGTTGTTTGCGTTGCATTTCGGAAGAACTCTCGAAAGGATCCAAATCATTATGGTAACCATCGATTTTGAGCCCGACCCTGCAACACCCTCTCAAAATTTCCATCAGTCCACTTCAGATATAAACTCCCCAACGGCTAATTGTGGAAACAATTCCTAGTTTACAAGGTTTGTTTGTTTTTTTAAATTACGTAAATTCGCAAGCTCGGCTTTTTAACCGCCTGTTGCAGAGCACGGTCCTCCTTTCCAATCTTACCTTTGAAAGAGTCTTGCCGTTTGCCGTGACAGTCACGAGTCCCGCACAACAGACCAAAGCACTGGAGCTTGACAAGCCGGAACTTGGAGGAATTGTCCCTTCTACGAGGCAGTTAATTCCACTCGGGTTCTCCAGACTGAAGTGATCCTAACCATACAAGACAAACTGATTTCAATGTTTCAGAAGAACTAAACAGCCCTCTTCTTCATGAGAGAAGGAAAACTGGTTTTTCCTACTACAGGATGTCTTGTGACGTGCGACAGTTTGCTTACTAACAATTTCAACAGCACTGAAAAATGTGACGTACGACCGTTCTTCACACTTAACGATCGTTGCAGTATCCCTGTGATTAAAATTCGGACACGTGGCAACTGACTCACATTTGTGACGGCTGCAGTGTCTCGAGTCACGTGATCCCTTTTGCGATCTTCTGACAAGCAAAGTCAATGGGGAAGGCAGATTCACTTAACAACTGGGTTACTGACTTAGCAGCTGCAAGTGATTCACTTAAGAACTGGGGCAAGAAAAGTCGCAAAATGGGGCAAAACTCACTTAACGAATTTCTCACTTAGCAACATAAATATTGGGCTCAGGACTGCCGGTATGTCTATGTATGTATGCACATACACGCAGATGCAAAGTTTTCATGGCTTCCTGGGCAGGACATACATAGCAGTTTGGACCTGTTTTCAGAGAACTAGGCAGGCCCAGAATATAATTGAGTTAGATTCCTGAAAACAAACAAGGGTTACATGATAAGTCCATTGAAGCTCACGCCTACTGTTTCAGGGACTCCATCCAGTCACCTCCTTCTCTGTCGTCCCCTTCTTCTATTGCCCTCCATCTTTCCCAGCATCAGGCCCTTCTCCAGTGAGTCCTTCCTTCTCATTAGGTGGCCAAAGTACCTGAGTTTCAACTTCAGGATCTGGCCTTCTAAAGAGCAGTCAGGGCTGACTTCCTCTAGGACTGACCGGTTGGATCGCCTTGCAGTCCAGGGGACTCGCAGGAGTCTTCTCCAGCACCAGAGTTCAAAGGCCTCAATTCTTTGGCGCTCAGCCTTTCTTATGGTCCAACTTTCACAGCCATACATGGCAACTGGGAAAACCATGGCCTTGACTATACGCACTTTTGTTGGCAGGGTGACGTCTCTGCTTTTTCGTATGTTGTCTAGATTTGCCATAGCTTTCCTCCCAGGAGCAAGCGTCTTTTAATTCCTTGGCTGCAGTCCCCATCTGTGGTGATCTTGGAGCCCAAGAAGACAAAATCTGTCACTACCTCCATTTCTTCCCCATCTATTTGCCAGGAATTGAGAGGGCCGGATGCCATGATCTTGGTTTTCTTAATGTTTTATATATGAGGGAATTTGAACTTCCAAAATTCTCAGCAATGAACACACGGGCTAAGAATTCTGGGAGTTCAAGCTACTCCTCTGGAGGGCACAGAGTGTCCTCAGTGTCGGGGAATTCTGGGAGCCGAAGTCCACACATCTTAAAGGTATTAAGGTTTCAAACCCTGTGGGAAAACAATCTATGAATTGTCTTTAAACTCTGCTAAACTGAACCTCTGAATTCCAAAGCTTTGTCTTCAGTGCTGACAAAGCGGGTTGTTTCTAGATCCATTTGGCATTCCTGATGGAATCTGGTACCACAGCTTCTTGTGTTTGCATATGCTTATATTACTAAGAAAAACTGGCAATATGCAGAGAGCCTGATGATCTGTTTCAGGAAGGCTGAGTCCCCTTCAACCTTCTTGACATAATTCCAGTATTAGACAACAAGATTCCTGCAACACCCACAGAAGACAGTTGAAATTAAACACATTCTGCGCACTACCGTAAACTGCCCACAAAAAAAAAAAACCCACCTCATTTTAGGCAGACAAACTACTTGCTGTGAAGCCACCTCTGACAATTTCCCAAGAGAGACAAATCCATCAGATTCTTAAACCAGAAATGGATTAGTGGACATTCCTTTGAAGATGGATCAAACTTTCACATTTATTACGGAATATGTATATGGAGGGAGAACAAAGTCTCTGACTCAAAAGTTTTTGTTTTTGGTTTTGTTTTATTTATGGAGCTGCGCAGGATGTTTCTTTCCAGGGGATAATGTGCTCAGTTTAATATAAACAGATTGTGCCACGGGATTCTGCCTTAGGTTTTAAAAATAATTTCGTAGAGAGGAAGGGTGAGAAGGAGCCCTGAAATTACCAAGAGGCCACTTGCCAAACTTTTAAAAGTGTAGGTCACAAGAAAGAAAGCGCTACAATTTATAATGCTAAACATGACACGTTATCTATGAAATAGTTCCTATCGATGAATGCGGAGTTAATGTAGAAACTTTGTACACGTAGTATGTGCTCTCTGCATATATTATTTTTTTAAAAAAAAACACAGCATGTATTTAACTTTCTAGCATACGGCGTGTTATTAGAACATTTATGTTTTGCTTTCCATTTTGCTGAAAATGCCAAAAGGGGAAGGATGCAAAGTGACTTCACCTGTATTCCTTTGAACCCGCAGAGAAAATAGTTGTGCCATAAAGGTTTCGTTTGCTTTATTTGGATGTTTTTGGCATCTGTACTGAAATCCCTGGAAAATAAACAAGAAAAAAGCAAAACTGTTTCAGAATAGGTTTACTATAACATTCATTCTCGGCTACACATAAACTACTCATACAAAACTACCGCCACCTGCCGGTGAAGAAATATGTTTCCTTTTGTCTCTTTGCCAATTAGATGTAGTCCTGTGGTAGTTGAGTCCAAACTTTCTGCTGATAAGTGAGACAGTTCTTAAGTGAATCTTCCCCATTTTACGACCTTCCTTACCGCAGTTGTTAATAATAATAATAGTAATAAAGTTGGAAGGGACCTTGGAGGTCATCTAGTCCAACCCTCTGCTCAGGCAGGAAACCCTATACCATTTCGGACAAATGGCTGTCCAGTCTCTTCTTAAAAACTTCCAGTGTTGGAGCATTCACCGCTTCTGGAGGCAGGTTGTTCCACTGGTTAATTGTTCTCACTGTCAGGAAGTTTCTCCTCAGTTTTAGGTTGCTTCCCTCCTTGATTAGTTTCCATCTGTTGCTTCTTGTCCTGCCTTCAGGCACTTTTGAGAACAGCTTGACTCCCTCTTCTTTGTGGCAGCCCCTGAGATACTGGAAGGCTGCTATCATGTCCCCCCTCGTCCTTCTCTTCATTAAACTAGACATACCCAATTCTAGCAACCGTCCCTTATATGTTTTAGCCTCCAGTCCCCTAATCATCTTTGTTGCTCTTCTCTGTACTCTTTCTAGAGTCTCAACATCTTTTTTTACATCACGGTGACCAAAACTGGATGCCGTATTCCAAGTGTGGCCTTACCAAGGCCTTGTAAAGTGGTATTAATACTTCATGTGATCTTGATTCTATCCCTCTGTTAAGTGAATCACTGCAGTTGTTAAGTCAGTAACACGGTTGTTAAGTGAATCTGGCTTCCCCATTGACTTTGCTTGTCAGAAGGATGGAAAAAGGGGATCACACGTCCCTGGGACACTGCAGCCGTCGTAAATATGAGTCAGTGGCCAAATGTCTGAATTTGGATCACGTGATTATGGGGATGCTGCAGCGGGTCATGAAAAAAAGAAAGGTCATAAGTCACTTTTTTCAGTGCTGCTCTAACTTCAAATGGTCACTAAATGAACTGTTGTAAGCTGGGGACTACCAGTATATGTATATCCCTAACTAAATATTGAGAAATTAAGCCTCTTTTCTTTCCTGATAGAAATTGAACTTGGGTATCTTCTTGATGGTTCCCAGAACCCTCCTAGAACAGTAGGTCCAAAAATGTTGGACCCTTTTATTTTTCTGTTTGGCTTTAAGGCATAAATCAGGTGCCTTAAGGCAGGGGTCCCCAATCTCCGGTCCATGGACCGGTACTGGGCCACAACATGCCAGCAACTGGTCTGCACAAACAAGCAAAGCCCCATCTGTGAGATGCAGGCAGCACATACAAAACCACACACTTTCCGTTCCGTGGAAAAACCTCTCTCCACGGAACTGGTCCCTGGTGCCCAAAAGGTTGGGGATCTCTGCCTTAAGGCATTAATCAGATGCCTTACGCCAGTGGTTCTCAACCTGTGGGTCGGGACCCCATTTGGGGTCGAACGACCATTTCACGGGGGTCGCCAAACAACGCAGTCCGCCATTTTTTCCCCCCTTTTCCTTAGCTGTGCTACTCCCTTTTATTCTATTGGCTTTTGAAAGCCAATAGAATAGACTCTCTTGAATAGAGTCTAATTCTATTGGCTTTCAAAAGCCAATAGGAATTGTCCAGGCTGTCTCTGCCCTGCTGAGCCCGCCAAAAGTCCCATTCTGCAAACGGTGCTGCACCAGTTGAGTAGTCCTCGACTTACGACCGGTTGAGTAGTCCTTGACTTACGACCAGTTGGGGGTCGCGACATTAAAAAGATTGAGAACCACTGCCTTACGCTTTCTACTTATACCCCATAAGACTCCCAAAACTGATTCCTCCATCCAATTTTGAAAACAGCACCGTAGGTAAAACCAGCGCAGCTGATGGTGAACCTAAAATGTAATCTAGTTAAAAAATAAAAAATAAACTCCCAGAAAGATTATTATCTCTCTTTATGTAAAGGACAATCTTCCATGATCAGGAGGTAAAAATGGTAAAAACGGTATTAAAAAAAAATTATAAACTGAATTCACGTTGAGGACAGATTTTTGGCTGGCAGATGGCTGTGGAGTGCTTTTTCATTGGCTTGGCTTGGCTTTTTAATTTGACGTCCTCTGAGTTTGTGGGCTCTCACCATCAACTCGGCCAACTGGTTCCTTAGTTCATTTCTCCGGTGCTTCCCTTCCCAGTCAAAAAGGATGGTAAGCTCTGGGTCAAGGAAGGATGCGTTTCCAGCTAGGGTTCAGCTCAGTTAATGCGAATTAACTATTGCAACACCAGTGTAAATGGGATGAACATCCCAACTGAACACTCCCATTTAAATACTTGGGATTTGAATTTGGAACAAGCATTGAGTAATCTCTTTCCTGCCCGTATGAGAGATTAACCAGGAAAGTTTGGAAACCAATGTCAGATCTACCAGCCCATGTTCTCCCTTCCTGTTCGTTCCCTTCTTCTTATCATTAGAGGAAAAGCCAAAAAGAGCTACTTTTCATTTTAATATATAGTGTGCCTTTCTACTATAAAATACGGATGATGAGATTTGAAGACACCACACCAGGCAACTGCTAGAAGACCCACAGGCTGCGCAGCACTCAGAGCAGTGGTTCTCAACCTTTTTAATGCCGTGACCCCCCAACCGGTCGTAAATCGAGGACTACTCGACCGGTCGTAAGTCGAGGTCTACTCAACTGGTGCAGCACCGTTTGCAGAATGGGACTTTTGGCGGGCTCAGCAGGACAGAGACAGCCTGGACAATTCCTATTGGCTTTTGAAAGCCAATAGAATTAGACTCTATTCAAGAGAGTCTATTCTACTGGCTTTCAAAAGCCAATAGAATAAACAGGAGTAGCACAGCTAAGAAAAAGGGGGAAAAATGGCGGACTGCGTTGTTTGGCGACCGCCGTGAAATGGTCGTTCGACCCCAAATGGGGTCCTGACCCACAGGTGGAGAACCACTGACTTAGAGGATCCACAACATTTACACTAAGCCAAGAATGTTTGTTTTGGTTTGGCCTTAAAATGTGGTGGGAAAGAAGCCATTATGACTTGTCAGCCATGGTTTGTGGGATCGGCTGTGCTTTATTCAAACATACCCCACAGCTTAGCACAATGTATGAATTCCAGTTATCAGCAAGGCATTAAAGGTAGGTCCTCGACTTATGAACGCAACTGAGCCTAAACTTTCCGTTGCTAAACAAGTCCGCCATTAAGTCATTTGTGCCCCATTTTACGCCCATTCTTGCCAAGGTTGTTAAGTGAACTACTGCAGTTGGTTAAGTTAGTAACATGGTTAAGTGAATTTGGCTTCTCCCACTGACTTTGCTTGCCAGAAGGTTGCAAAACGGGATCACGTGACCCCGGGATGCGGCGACCCTCATAAATGTGAGTCAGTTGTCAAGCGTCTGAATGTAAATCACATGACCACGGAGGTGCTGCAACAGTCACAAGTGTGAAAAACAGTCGTAAGTCGCTTTTTTCACATTGTAACTTCGAATCCTCACTAAATGAACTGTTATAAGTTGAGGACTACCTGTATTCCACGTCTTCCTTTCTGAAAGAGTCTATGAATAAAGATAAAACATAAAAGCGATGTCACCCTTGATTGCAGAGCACTGTTTCAAGAGTTATTTTTTTTTTTACTGCAGAAACGAACTTTCCAGTCTGCCGTTTCCCTTTCTTGCCTCCCCACAAATAAACACAGATCTTGTTTCCTCGGCGGATTTTTCTCCTTTCCAAACTCAAAAAACCCAAAAATTAAACAAGACGTGGATAATTACATGGGGATCACTGTTCCCTCTGGAACAGATCGTTACGATTTAATCTCGCAGACCATTGGTCCAAAAGCGAAGCTGGCTTCTAAGGTTGGCCCATTTCGTTCGGACGTCCATTTTTACAAAATTGCCAAGTGAAGTGGTGTGGAATTGGGAGAAATTGATACAGGCAAGGGGAAGAAACGGACAATTGTTTGCAAGGAAAAAAACGTAAGAGTTGCAATCTTTCTGCCTCCCTCCCTCCCAACGTGTGTCTTCAAAACATTGGTGACTCTTGGTAACTCTGCTTAGACTCGTCCATGCAGTTTTTTCAGCAAGGTTTTTAGAAGTGGTTCGTAAAGGTGAGATATAGAGACTTGTCCAAGATCTGGCATCTGGTTTGGGGCTTCAGGTGGGACCAGAACACTGATCTGTCAGACAAGGTTTAAGTGAATTTTCCCCATCTGACCACCTTTCATGCCACAGTTGTTAAGTGGATCGCTGCAGTTGTTAAGTTAGTAACACAATTGTTAAGTGAATCCGGCTTCCCCATTGACTTTGCTTGTCAGAAGTTCGCAAAAGGGGATCACATGATCCCAGGACAATGCAAACGTCATAAACATGAGTCATTTGCTAGGTGAATTTTGATCACATGACCATGGGGATGCTGCAACGGTCGTGTGAAAAATGTCATTTTTTAAATGCCGTTGTAACTTTGACCTGTCACCAAACAAAGTTTTGTAACTCAAGGATTACTTATATTAGACTACAGCTGCCATGTTGGCTGTAGAGTTTTGAGAGAGCTGGAGGATAACACATATACATACTTCAGGTGCAAGACATTGGTTGATAGCTCAAATGTTGAATGGTTTAATTCTGAGCAGCACATAATGGATTCTGCTATGAATTCTGCTCAGTTTTCACTTTTTTAAAATTGCATGTCTACAGGTAAAGACAGTGCCATTGTTTAATTGCTGTGAAACACCTATAACAACAACAATAATCAGTAAAAAATATGGCACTTACGAGTATGAGGGATTTGTATTAGCTAAATTGAGGACTGGGCTGTTTAGAGGTTCAGCTGCTATAAGTATGTCTTGGTCTATGGCCATCGGGAGTACAGCATAGCCGCAGTAATCTATATGTTCACCTGTAAAAAAAAAACCCAGAAAATTAAATGATCTCACATAGCACCCAAATACCCCCTTTTTAATTTTAATTTAATTTAACTGCATTCTGCATGGGATGGTTTATGCTGAAGATTCTAGGACATCGAGGTTACATCTTGGTTTACAGGACTGGCTTTCACTAGGCTGAAGCAACTTGATAGAATGCGCAATATACAATATAAAATTAAAATGACCATGGCAAAAGCATTGACAGAAAGGTCAAAAATAATCAGAGCAAACCTAATCAATTTGTAATGAAAATAAACATATATTAACAATAGCACAGGCGACAACAACGCTCCATTGAAGAGTTCTGCCTTGAATTGTTTCTGAGATGTTAAATGATATCACAAGTCTTCATTCTAAGGGGAAACTGCTCCATAGCACTGGAGCTGTCATAAAAATAATATTTCTTGGCTTTCTTCCCCTCACTTCATACAAATGGGGTATAGTATATCCAAACACTTCTCCTGGGAAGAATGTACTGAACAGGTTAATTCAAGCAGGACGTGGCAATTCTGCAGACACCTTAGTGTCACACCCTACTGCCTAACAAATATAGGCTATTTAAAGTGATGTTAACAAAATAATGCATTTTTTTTTTAAAAATACTTTACCTATTAAGTTGACTCGCCCTGGTGCTCGAACATAAAATGTGGGTGTTGTTTTAAATTTAGATATGAACATCTTTTTCAGCTTCAGCAGTCTGGAAAGGAGCAGCAGTATAAATTTGTCACAAATACAAATGTCAAGGGATATATTTCAAAGTCTTCAATCAATTTGACATGAGCAGGCTCTAGGTTTGCAGGCTAATGCAGTTTTAATATTCATAGGTCATATACTTCATTCCACTAATCCCAGTAAGGTTATTGAAAGTAATAGTAAATAATTTTTACGTAGGAAACAAGCCTATTAAGGGTTATGTAGTTTTATCTTATATGATTCTAGCCTATTGCTGGTTACTTAAAAATATCATGGCTTACTGTTGAGTGAACCACAGCAATTTGGCAGAACAGAAACTCTGCATGCAGTTGAGCCCAAATCCAACCCCACTAGGAGATATTCCAGATGATAGGACAGACTTATATGTTTGTTATCAGATACCTTCATGTTACTGTTCAATCATGCTGAACGTGGCTCCTTAATAAAACTTTGTGCCTAGGAATAATGATGACCAAACCAAAAGAGCTGCCATTTTGAATTTGCACTCTTCTGTTCAATAAACTTTGTTGGTCAGTTTATGTTTTATTCCCACAGTTACCAAGTAAAGTACATTGGCCTAAGTCGAGATACTCTTTGGCTCCAGATCACCAAGTGAACAACCCTGGTTGAGTAGGGTTGAACTTGGACCACCAATTTTAGTCTAAAACCTTAACCCTATCTTTACCCAATGTGGCATCTGTGGCCATTCCAGTGGTTTATGAGAGTTATAATCCAACCCATCGGATATCAGGGTGGGAAAGGTTAACAACACATCACTACCTAGTGATCTTTATTCATCTTACATGGTTGTAAGATCCAATTTGCAGTGGTTCGGCAGAAATATTCCAGCGCCTGGGATGCTGAATTGTTAAGGATTCTGTTGCTAAATGACCAAGTATCTTATTTTGCATGTTTCTATTGTTTTTGTGTTTTAAAATGTTGTGGGTTTTTTTTTTTAGTATTTTAAGTGTAACATATTTTTTGAATTGCAAGTCGGCCAGAATCATTGACTGAGATGGGCGGCTATAGAAATTGAATGGATGAATGAATGAATGAATGCACGCCTTTTTTCTTTGGTTCCTTGAAAAACGAATAGGAAGCAAACGTGAGTAAAGCACCCGGAACTGCCCCTGTAATCTGGGCGATTACAAATCCTCCAATCTCATGCACCTCGACCTGGGAGCAAGCAACCTGGGAGCACCGGCTACTCTCCCAGGAAAATCATGCACAAGACTCGTTGCAAAGCGCATCAAGGAAGAAGGTCCTTCGCTTAGCCTTCTGCCCTGACCGCTGGCGCCCAGAGGAGGAAGGGGGCGAGAGTCCGACCACGCACCTCGGTTCTTCCACCAGCTGGAGCGAAAGGACGGGGGGCGCCTCGGCAGCCATTCTTTTCCCCCCCACCACGATTACTGCACGCGCGGGGCAAGGTCTGGGCTGCGGGGTTTTGTTCCTTCTGCAACCGACCAAACCCCGGGACACGTCGGCTTCCAGCTCCGCTCGCTGCAGCTGTTTCCTCCTCGTACTCCCCGCCCAGAGGCGCCGGGGTTGGCAAAGAGGGCGAAGCTGCTGCGAACGACCGGTACTGCCCTTCCTCCGCTGCAGATGCGGAACTGGCGACATTCACACGAAAGATACAGGAAGAAGCGAAGGGCCGCGTCTCTCTCCATCAAGGAGAGTTAACCTATTCCCGGGAAGACTTCTGTCACTTGCAAATATCCCATTTTCTGAAATAAAAAGAGCGTCCCTCCCCATCACCCATGGAGAGTGTTGGAGAGTTTGGGCTGTTTTAGTCTTGCAGCCGCTTTTTCGACTCCCACGTTTTGTTAAAGGCGTAAACTTTCCCAACGAAAAGTGGAGGATTACAGCATCAGTTGAAGGGAGGTGTCTGTAGCTCAAGAAAGGCGATGCTTTTTAATCAGATGTGTTAAATCAGAAAAAGGGGTACTTGTGTAAAAGTTGGAAAGCAACTTGGAGGTAACAGTCCAGGGTTTTGCAAACTTGGCACAGTGGCTGTGAAATCCTGGGAGTTGGAAGTCCACCCATCTGGAAGTTGCCAGGTTTGAAAAACGCTTGATCTAGTTTTCAAAAAATGGTTTGGATAGCCATTTGACCAAGATGGTACAACTGAATGAGAGTTGGAGTAGAAGACCTCCGGGATCAATCCCAGCCAGATGCTTCTATGTTCCATCTATGGAGTACAGGGATTCATTACTGTATTATACTCATACCTATATGCCAAGTGTGTACATAGTGTGCTAAATTAGGGCTTGGTTGGGAGGACAGTCTTCCTTTTGTAAGTTCTGTCCTCCCTCAAAAAGTGTCCTCCTACATGTCCTCCTTTTCAATATTTGAAGACTAATCTGCATGGCTTTTTTTTTGCCCTCATAGAACGCTCAGAACGGCGTTCCGGCACCTGGTTTTTTTTTCAACTTTTGCATGAGCTGTGCTACTCCCACTATTGGCTTTTGAAAGCCCATAGGAATTGCTGCTGAGCGCGTCAAAACACCCGGCCGGCAAACTTTGCACATGCAAGTTATCTGTATTATTGTTGCAATGAATAAAATGTTTCTTTTATTTACGATATTTTTTCCTTCAATTTATTTGTGTCCTCCTTTTCATTGTAAAAAAGTTGGTCACCTTATCTTTATATATTGTGCAAGCTCTATAGACAGCTTATAACCTCTGGCCAGATTCAAAGTGAGGCCAAGTCAACCTGCAAAACGGGGGAAAGCCATTTGATAGGCTTTCTCTCTGGTCTGTACGTAGCCATTGAAGCATACTTCCCTAACTTGGTTGGAGGAGTTGAAATCCATATATCTTCCAGTTGTGGAGGTTGAGAAATGCTGGTCTAAGGTTACACTTGTATTTGAGCGGCCCCCTAGTTATGTCTGCTGTTTTAATTGAAAAGGCTGGCAACTCCTCATATTGGACAGTTCCTTTCTCCTCTTTCCTTGATCAGCTGATCATTTAGGGACAGCTGACTCATGATGTAAGGGGCACTGATGACGTTAGCTAGTTGGGTCATGAAACGTCTGCAAGAAAAGAACTTTCAACCCTGAGCTACAAATATTCTCCTCTTGACCGAGTCTGCGTCTGCCCTTCGGGGCTTCGCCACAGGCTCCTCTCCGGCTGCTAAAAAGCCGCACAGCCGCCGCAGCGAGAGCGCAAGGCTCCCTCTTAACATCACCCGGCAGTTTGGCACCCGGGATCTCCCCAGTGCATCGGGCGGGGGGTGAGTGGGAAAGGCCCGAAGCCTCATCGAAATCACCCGAGCTCCGTTTTTTTGCAACCCTGGAGCCGTTGCTAGGAGCCCGGTTGCCAAAAAGAAAAAAAAAAGCAAAAAAAAAAAAAAGCAGGCCCGGTGCACCCCGAAAGAGGCTCCGTGCGCGCCCGGAACGGCCAAGCGCGCGGCGCGACGGACGCTTTTGCGTGCAACGCCTGGCGTCGGTCACGTGGAAAGGGAGGGGAACCGCCCGCCGCGGGGTATTGTGGGAGGAGAGGGCCGTCCGCCCGGCTGTTGGGCCCGCCCTCCGCGCCCCGCCCCGCCCCTCCTCCCCCCTCCCCTCGGCGCGTCCTCCGGCCAAGATGTCTGACATGGAGGATGATTTCATGTGCGACGATGAGGAGGACTACGACCTGGTGAGGGGGGCGGCCGGGCGGGCGCTCGCGGGACCCCCTTCTGCCCTCCGCCTGGGCTCCCCCGGCCGCGGGGTCGACGCCGGCCCCTTCGCCGCTCGGTCGTCCCGGGGTAGGAGCGCGGCAGGCCGGGCGCCGCCGGGCGGAGGGGCGCGGGCCAGGCCCGCCGGCTCTTCCCTCCGCCCCAGGCCCGCGCTAGGCCTCTCGGGATGGGCGCCGGGGCTGGGCCGGCTGGGCTCCCCTCCATGGCGGGGCAGTTGGGCTGCGTTCCCCACAGAGACGCGGCCGGGAGGGGTGGCGCCCCCTGAAGCCGCCCCCTCCTGGCCGGGCTGGGTGGTGGGTCGATCCGGAGGGGCGCGAGTGGGGCAGGCGGCCTGGTCGGGTGTGGTTGGGGGGGCGGCCCTGTCAGCTTGGGGAAGGGGCGTCCTGAAATCCGGCCGAGTTTTCAGTTCAGGCAGTCCTCGACTTACAACCGTTCGTTTAGTGACCTTTGGGAGTTGTAACGGCGCCGAGAGGAGTGACTTGGGACGGTTTTGCGCGCTTAACGACGGTGGCCGCCTCCCCGCGGTCACGTGACTGACATTTGGATGTTTGGCAAGGGACTCGGGTTTAAGGGCGGCTGCAATGTTCCCGGCATCATGTGGCTTCCCCTTTGGCGACCTTCTAACAAGCAGAGTCCATGGGGAAGCCAGGTTCGCTTAACAACTGCAGGGATTCACTTAACAGCTGCAGGGATTCACTTAACAACGGTGGCATGACACGTGATAAAATGGGGCGAGGCTGGCTTAACACGTTTCTCACTTTGCAACAGAGATGTTGGGCTCAGTTGTGGTCATAAGTCAAGGACTACTTTAGAACAGAATAGAGCCAGGAGGGACCTTGGAGGTCTCTGAGTGTGATTTTAGGTATCTTTGTTGCCCTGGGAGAGGAAGACGACTTGATGGCCCATAATTTAAAATTTCAGGAGCGTCTGAGTCAAACTTCATTAACTAATTGATTATTATTCTTTTTATGTGCGTATGTTTTTTTAGGAGGGTTGGCAATGGCATGCTTTATAGCAGTGGTTCTCAACCTTTTCAATGCCACGACCCCCAACCGGTCGTAAGTCGAGGACTACTCAACCGGTCGTAAGTTGAGGACTACTCAACTGGTGCAGCACCGTTTGCAGAATGGGTCTTTTGGCGGGCTCAGGGCAGAGACAGCCTGGACAATTCCTATTGGCTTTGGAAAGCCAATAGAATTGGACTCTATTCAAGAGAGTCTATTCTATCGGCTTTCAAAAGCCAATAGAATAAAAGGGAGTAGCACAGCTAAGGAAAAGGGGAGGAAAAATGGCGGATTGCGTTGTTTGGCAACCCCCGTGAAATGGTCGTTTGACCCCAAATGGGGTCCCGACCCACAGGTTGAGAACCACTGCTTTATAGGGACTTTTTCTTCCTGCATGGTAAAAGGTCCTCTATTTTGATGTAATTTGACAGGTGTTAATAGCCACCTCTGAAAATGAGTGACTAATCTGCTGAACAAATATGTATCTAGTCATTTTGTGCTATAGGAAAAGTTGTAATTCTGTTTTTTTTTTTTTTTTTTGAGCAACAGCTTAGGTGGATGTATGGGTTTTGTGATGTTTTTTTGTGACTTTCTGATATTTAGTGGTTATTTTATTATACCCATATAACATTTTTATTTCCTATGAGCCGCCTTGAATGGCTGTGAGCAAATAGATGAACAATATAAATTTTCCAAATAAATAAATAAAACAAAATACATGGATCTTTCCAGTAATTCAGTGGCTCCCAACCTTTTATTCACCAAGGACTCCCTTTAAATATCATGGCCACGGACCCCAAGACTTACCTCAAGATTTAAATTATAACATTTCTTCAAGCTTTCAAGGACTCTCTGTGACGACATTGTGGGCCCCCAGGGGTCTGCAGACTACTGCAGTAATTAATGAAAAGGAAAACAAGTTGACTGGCTCAAACCTACAAATTCTTGTTTGTAGGTTTGTGAAAGTACTTGTTAACTTTTGAAAACCCTGATTACATAGTACTCTCCGCAAGTTTTTTCAAAAGGCTTGGTGCAACTATAGTAGCTTGCATGTTGTCCGCTTTGAAATTCAGCTCCTAGCATCTTCATTTAAAAATCAAAGAAATTGTAGCTAGGAGACACTCTTGTTTAAGGTCTTGGAGAATAAACCTCCAGGTTTAGATCATTTGTAAAACATGGTCTACTAGGTTGTATGAATCCCATCATTTATGACAAATTCAGTGAATCACCGGTTTAGCTTGTCCTATACAGTAAACACAACCTTAGCCAAAAGAAAGTTGTCCTTGAAAATCACATTGAAAGTATATAGGAGATAGCTTGGTGGAAGAATTAGTTGACTCCAGATGACAATAGACTATTGGGCTTTCATCTGATCCAGCAAGCTGTTATTCAGGCTACTTTCTTTCATAGCAGAAATCTTTCTGAAACCTAGTTAGGAATTACCCCATTCCTCCTACCTTTAACCTAATCCAGGAAAGAGTCATGATTGGGTTGATGAATTTTACTTTGAAAAAAACAAAACCAGTTTTGATGTGTTTATGAGAGATGCTTTTAGCTGCACGGATTGTTTGACTTATGTTTTATTCCATAAGACAAACTACAAAAAGCATCCCTTTTCAAGCTGTTAAAGCAGCTAAGGATGTGTAGCAACTTCAGTAACCACTGCTAGCTATTTGCTTATGCTTAGTCACGACAACTCATCCCCTCCCCAATTTCCCATTTCATTTCTACTTCTGGCACTTATCAGTTAATTGATTAAAATTTAATGTTCTCAGCTGACATGTATATTTTTTTTTACCCTTTGTAAAATACAGGAATATTCTGAAGACAGCAACTCTGAACCAAATGTAGATTTGGAAAATCAGTATTATAACTCCAAAGCCTTGAAGGAAGATGACCCCAAAGCAGCACTGAGCAGTTTTCAAAAGGTTTATAGTTTTAATTTTTCATATTGGTACACATACGTCTGTTAAATATTTTGCTTTATTAGACTTTTTATCTGTGATAGCTTGGTGCAGGCAAAATCCTGTTGTCGAATAATCCTGGGGTATTCTCCATGTTTCACTTTTAATATAATTTTTGATAGATGATATCACTTATCTAAGGGGTAATCGTGTGAAACCTACCTGGAATATCCCTGCTCCTCTTAGCTACTCAAACTCTCCTCAGTGCTACTTATTTAAGTATTTAAGACTTTTTGCTCTTGGGAACATTTATTTTAAGAATAATGTCTCTTATTGTTGCTACTTTTGAATTTTTAAAAATA